CTAAGTAGACAGAAACACACTATGATGGTTCACAAGGGGACAGCCCAATACAAGTGAGTAGATGTCTGAACATCTTAACATGTGGCAGAGAAAAAGATCACTTCCTAGTGCCCTGAAAATTTTAAATTTTCCTTTTGTTATCCAGCCTGTCACATTACTGCAGTGTACAAAGCTGAGGCAGAACAAAACAGCTTAAGTTATAAACGTGCACACGGATTTGAATCTCTTTTGTTAGACTTAAAGAAGCAATCTATGACTGAATTGTAGTTGTAAATTACAATTGTAAAAAACTGTAAAAAATAAAAACAGGTGAAAGTTATGGATACATACTTCTAGCCTTTCCTATGAAAGTCTTCTGCACCCACACACTTCATTAGTGCAGAACAAGCTTTTAAATCCACTCAGAAATGCAACAGCAACATGTTAGCCTCAACTGCATACCAAAACAGCCTAGTAATTAACTCAACAAAACAAGTAAACTAAATGGAGACACAAGCATTACAGAACACTGAAGCCTCAGCTCAAGCACTGTATCTTGTTTCCACATTTTCCTTATGTAAGGTGTAGACAAGTATTCATGCCATGATACAGGAGTATATTTAATGGACGTTAAAGCATCAAACTAAGCTTTACAAGAAGAAAAGCAACTGTGGATGACAGTAATTAATCAAAAGCAAGTTTGTGACAATTTAGTGACAAGAACAAGCAGGAAGATTTTTCTCCTGTAAAGCAAATTCTTTGTACTCACAGCCCCCAGCTGCACTCCCCAAGAAAAAAACAAGTAATCAAGTAATACACAACTCACCTGCATCAGTAACATCAGCAAAAACCCACCCTCAACAAAACCCAATCTTCTGTGCTATCTGAGTCTCCCTTACATTAGCCATCATGCAGTTCAAAAAGCTACATGCAATATTCTGTGGGCACTTATCAAGTTAGTTTTTATTAGATTGCTGCACACAGCAATGAAACAACAAACTGAAATCAGTATAGCTGTCTATATCTTTTTTTGTCAGTCCTAAGATGAAGCTGAGTGCCAGTGCAATTGTGTAATCACAAGGTAGCTGTTTACAACCTACTAGCCAAGAGATCCGCCCATAACAAGTTACAGCTGCATCACACCTGAGAGTCATAAGCAGACATCTGAGTTATTAAAAAAGCAAACAGGTAGCAAAGGTACACAATGCCAAGCACTTCCATCCTACTCACAGCAACCAGAAGGCTCTATCTAACTTAAGGCTGTAGAGAAATGCCACATTTTGCAGCAAGAAGAAATACTGAAAACCATCTCACATCACGATGAGATTTCAGAGCCTACAGGAAGGGTAAAGGAAAGGTAAATTTCTCACAACTATTTTTTTTTTTTTAAATAAGAAACACAATCATAAAATCCTTTACATACAAGGATAACCTAGAGCAAGATCTGCCAACATCAACCTCCCCTGCGGGAAGAAAGAAAGCGAGACTTGCACAACAAATGATTTCTATACAATTTTATGAAATCCACACTTCACTAACATAAAAGCTTATACTATTTGTCCCCACACAGAAAGTTTTTCCCCCTCACTTTCTTTTTCTGGACGTCATATCTTACATACACTAAGACTTTTCCTCACACCAGACTGGTGAACCAGTTCATTTCTGATAAATTCAAGTCATTTTATTTCATGTTTGGTCAGAACATATCTTAGAGGTCTTTTCCAACCTTCATGATTCTGACTGTGGTTTACACCAACAGGATACTAACAGTCCAGAACCGCCACAGAACAAAATTACTTATCATAATGGGAATTCTTAACACTCATCTTGCACAAAACACAAAAAAATCCAAGAGTTAAAAAGTCTTCTGATATTACAACTGCATTACTTCTCAAAAGCACACCCTAGAGGCAAATTACAACAATTCAGAAGATACAAGTCACCTTGCTGAATGGAGAATTTTGAGGGATATGGCATTAGTACCACAAATGTCTAAAGTTCACGTGTACCTTGGTATTCAGTATCCAAGCATGTAATAGTAAAATATTCAGGTTCAATAGTGCCTTCACTTTGTAGAATTGAATCCAGTACAGTACGATCCTGATATTCTGAGTCACATTTTACATGCAATCAGCAGGGAACACAACCCCGTTTTATAAAGCAGGAAGTTTAAATAAAAGCAACCCCACAACATGAATGGCTTTTATTTAAGTTTGTTCAATGCCTGTTTGTACCACAACATACCAAAAGGAGAACTTCTCAAGTAGTATTTCAGTACAGTACCTTCATCATCAATCCACTTGAGGGTAATTGGCTGCTCCTGTTGTAGATTACACATCTCACGCACTTCATCACAAAGCTCATCATAGGTTATGGATGCATCCAAATTAGTTATCAAGATGTCCCTGCATGATATGAAATCAAACTTTTGTCAGAGATATCTGCATAACCCTGTGTATTCCAACAATTCCATCTGTGGATTTCAATCTGCAACACCACGCTTACACAATCAGCGTTCTTCATTTGAAATGCTCCCACTAACATATATGAGTAACAATAAATTAAGTAACTGACATAATGCAATGAGAAGCATACACGTTTCCCTTCTTCTGCTATCTATGTATGCATTTATATTACATGATGGTATGAAGTGCCACACCCTGAAACACACATACCTGCAGCCCTGGAACCTCAGAGATAGACTGAACATTGTATTCTGTAACTTCCTCATGCTTAGATTTATTGGATTTCTAAGTGATACCAACATTTACTATTGATTCCTGTTGTTATTTAACATACTATCAATTCCTATGAAATTCTTTTAGCAGCCACCCAAACAAACTCAACCCTAATTCTGAAGTTGTTCAGCTTTGGGCTTGATGTGGAAGAGGCCAAATCTCCACACTGCTCTAGAATTCTACACTCAGAACACTGAGTTACTTGGCATTGACCTGGTAAGTAAATTCAACAAGAAAGCACCTCATTTTCAATTAAGTTTGGTGGAATTACTTTCATAATTACATTTAATTAGAAGCCCTTTCTTACACCATAGTATTAAAAGCCACAGTAACTGCATTTGCTTATTTGAAGAGGAAAATATCAGAGGAGATTACTGAGGCTACTGCTATCACGTGCCAGTAATTTCAAGCTAAACACTTGAAGTCTGAAGATTTACTTCAGCCAAACTTTTAACTCCTCAAATGATTTAAAACTTTGGCTTTAGAGGAAAACAAAGCAGATCAAAGCAACACTAACTCACAAGGTCCTCGTTGTGGCAGTAAATCAATTAGGTTAAATCTGTCTGAAAAACCAAATTTCATGCTGAAGCAGTAAGTAAGGCTTCCTGAATCTGTCAACAAGTGACTGAAGCCATAAGGGCCATGACTTGATTTATTGTCTCAAATCAGAGCTGCCAAAATAAGCACTGCAGAGATAACGGAAGCAGCTGTGTGTTAACATCTCATTGCATTACTCAAACTGCTGGGAGGGGAAAGAAGGGGAAGTAGATATCAAAAATAAAAGGCAGACTAACAGATAACACACAAGAGGTTTACTTCTGGTGTTTATCCACAGCAGGAAAACACATTTGCTTAATCTTCAGGTGTTTAATTTAGTACAAATAGATCCTCAAACAGCTTGCACAGGTTCATCTGACTCCACTGTTAGCATCAGAAGCTATTAAGATTCTTTAACTTCTCACATTTATCTAAATAATTCCAGTAACTTCACACCATTCGTGCACATTTTCCCCAATTCAAGGCTAAGCTCTCAGCTCCCTCCTCCAACCAGCACACTGCAGGAACCTGGATGGTATTTCAGTAACTATTTAACTACCAGACATAAACTACAGGACACCACGGTTACTCTGTTACCGGATCAGACCGCAGACAAGAGTCAAAATTTGGGAGGATTCAACAGATAGAAAACACCCGCACTCACCCACTGTAGTGCGCCTTGACCCTGATGATGTCTTTGTTCAAATTCCCTTTCGAGCCCATCCTGCTGGGCATGGTCCGCGTTCAGCAGACGGGCTGAGGCTACAGACGCTCTTCCAGCACACGAAGCTCCCCGTGCTGGAGCTCCGCAGGTGATCGCGCAGCTCCGCGCTCCGTTCCTGCACGAAGGCACGCTCAGCACGGCGGAGCCCCGCACACAAACCGACCGCAGGGACGACGAGAAACACGCCGTGCTCGGCGCTCACGCAGATTTGAGGCTATTTATTTATTCCCGCCCTCCCCAGCCCGCAGCTCCGCACGCCGCTCCGACAGGAAGCCGCGCACACACACAGGACAGCTTTCAGTTCACCTTCGCTTCGAATTCACGCGATCAAAGCACGAAGAAGAGCTCGAACAGCCTCGATAAGTTTCCTCCTCCACTTCAGCCCGCTCGCCCCGAACTCCCGCACGCTCCTCCCCTCCCCCGCCCACTCACCCCCACCTGTTTACCACACAGCCCCGCTCCTACCCGCGCCGTCGGGCCGAACCGGGCGGGCTCCCCCGGCCGCCTCCCGTTGTCCCGGAGCTCCCCGCGCCCTGCGGGCCCCCAGCCGCGGCCTGCCCCGCCCCGCCGGGACCCGGCTCGCCCCGTCGCGGCCTGAAGTTGTTTAAAGTCCCGTCAGGAAGTTCGGAGCCAACTTTCACGCCTCGCCTCCCATCCGGTTCGCAGCTCGCGGAGCGCGGCGGCAATCGCTGCCTCACGGAGCGGCGCGCGGCAACGCTCGCCCCGCGCTCCCCTCAGCCGCCCCGCCGGCCCCCCCCGCCCGCCGGCTCCAGTGGCAACGGCGCCACCGCGCCGAACATGGCGGACTAAGAGGACTAACCCCCACAGCCAATAGGATGCCTCCCGCTTTACCTGTCAGCCAATAGCGAGCTTCGGCTCACCTGGAGCCAATCCTCAAAAGGCTACCTTCTACCTACCGCCAATCGTAGGCTAGGAACCGTTACCTGGGAGAGTAGTGGCTTCCCGACCAATCAAAAGCCAGGATAGAAGCGGGAGCCGAACACCTGCAGCCAATCAAAGAAGCAAGCGGCGGGCGTGCCCCTCCCTGGCGCTGAGGTGACAGGTGTGGCGCGAAGGAGGCGGTTGGCGGCGATCTCTTCACGGTGGAGCCGCCCCATCCAGCTCCCCTCGGCCGCTGCGCCACCTCCGCGCTAGGAGCCGCGGCAGCGCTCGGCAGCGCTCGGCAGGAGGCGGGCTCAGACCGGTGAGAAGCAATGAGTGCGAGTGACACCGCGCCGGGAGGGCTACGAGCGCCTCCTGGGCGCCCTCACGGGGCACGGCGGGCAGCTCGGGCGGCCGCGGCTCCGGGCGTGAGGGGGCAGCGGGGGCGTGAGGAGGGCGGGCGGCCGCTGAGGGGAAGGGCGGGAGCGGGAGCTGAACGGCGGGCAAGAGACGGCTCAAAAAGTACGAGAGAGAAAGCTGCTTTGGCACTTTGTTGCTGTTAACTTAGCTGAGCGTGCCTAGGATTAATTATGAGAGAGGAGGGCGTCCTTAATTTGCAGACTTTTTAATGAGGCGTGTCAGGCGCTCAGGCTCAGCTTCGTTCAGGACATCCGGAGCGGCGGCTCGTGTGTTTAATTTCCCCTCCTTCAGCTGATCGCGCCGATATTTCCGACGGGAACACGCGCAGCTTCTGCGTGCTTCCAGCAGGTGGCGGAGCGCTCCCAGGCAGCGCCCAGCCGAACGCAGCTGAGCGGAGCAGAGCTGTGCTCTCCTGTGTTCAGCCCGCGGCTCCTTACGAATCGAAACAGAAAGGTACAGTCGTGGTTTTTAGGTCTGATGCTGGAGTTGCGGGACCTGCAGGTTTTTCTGTCTCTTCCTTGGTTTTTTTTTAGGCACAAAGTCTTTGTGTGTGCTTTACAAGGTTGACAAAAAAAAAAAAAAAAGCAAAAACTCCAACCCTTCACCCTCTGAAATGTTTGAATTAAGACACCACTACGACAAATAGTTCTTAAAGACTATTTTCTGGGGAAAAAAGTACCGTTTGGTACTACTTTTACCTTAATACAAGGAGAAGATTGCTGTCCTGTCTTTACTTGAACCTAGTGACTTAAATTTTCAGATATTTTAGGGCCGCCAACTTTCCGAGCTTTGAGAGATTTAGTAGAGATTAGAACTGATGGTTTCAGACTATGAACAAAACAACAGATACAAGAGGACAGAAAGCTGCTATCTTCACACATACGTGAAGTGTGAGTAATCAGTTCTGTGGCACTCAAGGATGAAAATGCACCTCCACAGAATTTCTTTAGCAAATCACAGCAGCTGCGTGTGCAGACAGACAGCAGGCTGCCTTCAGCCTACTGACTCTCTTCTTCCAAAGAAACAGCCAGGCTATATTTTCTGTTGAAGTCGATGGCAGTGGAATCATTGGATCCGATAGGGGCAAGTATAGGCTAAATAGCCCCGAGTTTGGATTAAAAAAATATTAGGGAAAGCATCAATATATTTTAACATAAACTGAAAGAAGGCATATATCCTGCTTAACACCAGAAATCACCATGGTTGTTCTTTATTGATTTCCTCACTTGCTGGTAGCTTTCTAGCCTCTTAAAATAGACAGAATGAATAATATTTCAAGGCTGCTATAAGAGAATACCTCCTTACTTGTCTCTTTCATGCAAGATGGAAGCACCCAGAAGCTAACTCACTTTTCTTGACACCACATTAGCCTGGAGTTTCAAGGAAGATTCTATGAGTAGACCAAGCTACATGCATTTAAAATAAACTAAACCAAACCTGTATGCTTCTTTATTTATTTTTCCAAGATATTTCAACAGCCTGTCTCTGTGGAAACGTATTTTTAACCTGTTTTCCTTTTGTATACAGCAGACAGTATACTGTAAATCTTTTTTTCTCGCTGCATACCCTGATCCTAATCCTTTAGAAACCAATTTCTCTTCTGGAAGGTGACAGTGAAAGAAACTGTAAAAGAAGGGAAATTGAGTGTTTCTGCCACTGAAGATTTGGAACTGTTGATTCAGAGGATGGAAGAAAATGGTAAAAAAAAAAAAAATCAAAAAAAATCAAAAAAACAAACCCTGGGGATTTAATTTTCACCTTGGTTCTTCAAGAGTCATATTTTTATTGCTTTTCTTGGACCAGACTAATTAAGCTTTTCTGAATTCTCATTGTTGGTCCAGCCACCACTCAGTTTGAATGAAAGGCAATCACTCTTAATGTGGTGTATTCCACATCCTGGAAGTGTCTGATGAATCCCTATTAAGAGTGCCCAGATTGGAGGCAATCTAAAAATACTCATAGCTGACTTGTTAAATGTTCTTTCTTTATAAAGGAGAAGTTCACTTTTAAAATATGATAGGTGATATGATGTATAAGTTACATGAAGAATCCTTCTGGCTTCCAAATATTCAAGCTCATATATGTGTATGTACATTAGTTGTACATATAACTTGGAAAGATAAGGGCTGGGAAATCCTACATAGGTATCTAAAAAAGATGATAGGATGTGCAGTAATAGATCTTGTGTGTTTGTCTAACTCTGAAAGAAACAGCAACATAGGAAGAACAGCCTGGATGGAGTATCGTGCCAGATGTTTTACAGATTACTCTGTATTCCATCACTCAATCTTTATTTAATCTTAGAGGACTATGGTAATTCTAATACAGGAATAACCCAGTGGGCTATGTATTTGTTTGCAGCTTCCAGCCATGTCTGTTCCTAGCTGGCCAATTATTTATTATGTTGTAAAGAAAAATGTCCTCTTCACCCCATCTGGTAACCCAGTGCATGAAAATTGAGGACTTTATGATATTTATGCTAGCAAAGGTAATTCCAGTACTCTTTTCATCTCAGGAAAAGGTGAAGATATGTAGGAGGTCCATGACAGGCTTTATACCAAGAGATGGAGGCTGGACCTGTGGGCAGAGAAGTCTTTGCTTCAATAGGATTAGTCACTGCTGTGCGTTGGTTGGTCCTACATCTGCAACGACCACAGGTTTTTAGATACCTGAGAGATCAGGAATGTTTGGAGCTCTTTTTTTGGACCACCATTTTGCTGAACAGGGAACTCCAGTAACATCTGATTAGTTCTGTTGGTGCTACATTTTCTGACAGAGTGCACTTTGCTGTCTTCTCAGATTTGTTTTTACTGTGCATGACTTAGTAAAAGGAATAGCCGTGACATAAAGCTTGTATAAGGAGAGGACAGATCCTTATTGCATTATGTAATGATGAGCTTAGGTCTTCAAAGTCATTTCATTTAAGACACGAGCTATAAAAGCAGAAAGAGGCAGTGCCTTGCATTTCAGCTGCCAAATTTTTCCAAATAGATGCATCCATTGCCCAATTTGTTCAGTCTTCATTAGGAAGAGCTAGGTATGTATGTTTGTAACACATTGCACACAGTGTTGTTATAACATCAAACAAGCTTTCAACCTTTGCAAGTGTTTTAAGCCTTACAATCAAGAGAGCACAGGGGAGATCAGATGTGTGGGGTTTTTTTAATAAATATCCTAAGAAACTTTCAATAATCTTTTGTTATCTGTTCTGCTGCACAGGCACATATGCATGGGGTGCTGTTTTCCTCTTAATGTGAAGTGCTTTCTCAGGTTAATGACTGAATATTTAAAATGAATGTTCGTATTAAGTGCTTTGTTGTACCAACAGCAGAAGCCTCATTGAGTTAAATTGGTTTCGCTACATTATCTGTTGGATTAGGAACCCTGTTAAGAACTGATGTGAGAGCTTTTACTTTAACTTAAATAAATGCTTCCTTCTTGCCCAGAAACAGGACAGGCTTGTCTGTATATTAACCTTTTAATAGTGCTGTCACTGCAAGCATATCTTTCAAACTAATGATGCAACGTCTTGTGCCTTCTGTTTCTTTTCAACCTCTTTAGGTAACAACAGCTATTTTTTAACATAAATTCAGTAGTCTGCATAAGAGCCCCACAGAAAGCACTCATGAGTACAGAATGGTCCTTTCTCTTCTGTTGTCAAGGCCAAATGAGAGTTTTATGAGCCCCTGGGTGCTGAAAAGGCAAGGCTTCATTATGGGATGAAATCCCTGAGGTTATTTTGATTTTCCTTATAATGTCTTTTATCTTTTGGTTCAGTAGCTGGAATGTCTACTGTGTCCATTTTATAGGAGCTACAACTTCTATACAAACTATGCTTTATTAACACTTCACATTGAGAATGATTACATTAATACATATCCTACTTTCTTTCTCACAGGCACACCAGGATTTTAGAGCAGTACTCTAATTTGATGAAAGAAATACAAATACTTACACGTACAGCCCTCATATATATATGTGTGTATATATATATATATTATATATATATTTCCTTCCTGATATTAGTACAACCCATCCAAAGCTTGCTAGCCTTCCAGTGACATCAGATTTAGCTTATTTCTGTTTATTAAGTGTGCCAAAAAATAGAGTTGATTAGGGCATTGTCTTCAGGTATTAATAATGTATAATGGTTTTCAAATGGGAAAAAAACCCAAAAACGTGGAATGATCTCAAATGTACAGAAGCTTCAGTTTTATTCAAAATTCCAATGATTACACAATACTCCTGTACTAAAGTCCCTCCTGTGAAAGAATCTGAATGACATCTGTTTTATTTCTGGCTTTGGAAACACATTTCACAAACTATAACTTCACAATGGAGGTGTTCTGTCTTGTGCTGCTTTGCAAGTGCAGCAGCAGGAACACCTGTTCTCTCCTCTGAGTCACCCCATTCCTGGAGTGGACACAACTGCCACATGTACTCTCACATTCTGACTTCCTGATATATTCTGAGGTTCCCCCCTCCCTTTTTTTTATGCTTATGTCTACAACACTGTGATAGCCTAGCATTCTGGCTTCAGTTTTGGTGTTATTTGTTTTGTTTTGTCCTGGGTTGTGGTTATGGTGGTTTTTGTGGATTTTTTTGAGGGGAAAGACCATAGCCACCCTTTACCTTGATCAGTCACAAATAGCTGTGCACCTTGAAGATCTGCAATCAAATACAGAAAAATGCATTGAATAAACCTTTTGAAGAAGCCAGGGTGTGCAGCCGGTGACTGGCACCCAGGTGGAGAAGCAGCTAATTTTGTCCAATAACCCCCTGTGATTACCTCAGTTGGCTTCAGGGTAAAGAGTTGTGTCAGGTGCACAACTACAAACTATTACTGCTGAAGTAATTGGATTAGACATTGCCTTTAGAATGTATGCAGCCACTTTCTCACTAATTACCCTAAATAACCAGCTGCTGTACACTACAGGGACCAGGTCACTGCTTTTTTCCTGTTCTGTAATAACTTTAATCCCAAAATCATGGATTACTTTATGATTTACATTCCATAAGAACTTGCTGCCACTATTTTCTCTGCTGTATCTAGTCAACCATTTCCCTTTTAGCTGTAGTTACTTACCCTGAAAAGCAATGATAATAGCTAGAGAAACTGGCTGGATTCAGAAAGGAACCCTGATTACCTTCGTGTATAATGAGAGATGCACAATTTTATTAGCTTTCTGAATAAGATGAAATTAAATGTTTTAATTCAGTATGTAAGACTCAGGAACTATGGTAAATAGCAGCACACAAGTACTGTTTGAGTGCACATACCTAGTTGGAGCCTGACAGTTTCTGTGTCTCTCAAGGATTTTGCTTCTGTAGATCTCGAAGACTTAGTAAAGGAATCAGTATAATTATACCCATTTTGCAGATGATGCAATGAAATGACTCCAGGAAGGTCCATCCCCACGTCAGTGGCAAGAGCTTAGTGCAAAATCCAGGTGTCCCAGTCCAGGGCCAGACTGATAAGAACTTTCTGGAAAAAATATAGCTGGATGATGGTTTGCACTTTCCAGCATGTGGCTGGCAGAAAGTGTTTCCATTAGAACAGAAATAATCCACGTGATCCTCAGCCTGACTTATGATGGGATCATAGTTCATATTATAGTTCAGTTCAGGATCATTAATTTTTCTTCACTGCATTCTCTTACTTCAGTGATATTGAGCAAATCTCTTTTTAAGTTATAAATTTGTGTTAAAATGCTCTTTCAGTTCTGGTCATATGAAATTGAGCCGTGTGTCACAGATAGGTAAGGTGGGAGGGATGTGTGACCCAATGCTTGTTTCCTCCTCATTGCAATTCCGTCACTCATCAGTCATGCCCATCTTCCAAGCCCAGCACTGCTCTTCTCTCATTTACATCTTGTGTCCTGTTTCATCTTGCACCTCCCCATGCTTCCTTCCATAGCAACTTTCAGCTATCTCCTTAACTGCTCTCATTCCCTTCCTCTCTCATGTAATATTTCCTGTGGCATCTTCTTTCTCTAGGTTTGGAACAACCTTATCTTTCAAGGCACCAGAATCTCCCCAAAAAAGAAGAAAAAATCCAAAAAAAAGTGTCTTAAATACATTTGTTGTTTTAATCTATATCCCAATCTATTTCTTGTGCTTTTTTGATAGAGATTAATTATGAAACTTGTATTTGTTGTGAATACTGCCTTCATTTGCCTGGATCCCTGGAGTTACTCACAGAACAAAGTGTTATTTGTGTAAGTATGGTGAGGGGATCCAGTCTTGAATTAAGGAGTGTGTCTGAGTTCTCATACATTTCACTGTCAAATAAAGGAAGTGAAGCCTAACATTATGTCAGCCACTGAATAAAAATTGCAAAAATATCCAAAGTGACTGAATGACTTAAAGCCATTTATGACATCTTTGAACTTCCCTCAGCTATTTAGTGCCAGATGCAAAAAGGAGATTTTCAGAGACACGTAGGGCAGACTGTCACTGAAACTAATAGAAGAAATTCTAAAATCCTTCCTGAAAATGGAGTTTGAGTTCCTTCATCACCAAGCACCTCTGAAATTGTTAGTGATCCAATACAGAAAAGCTGAGCTTTCCCTGTTTCTGAACCATTTTTGCCTGCTTTGGGGCCCACTGAAGTACCAAGGGTTACTTTGCTTGAGTGTTAAATCTTTCATTAGCTTAGATCTGAAATGTAATGCTGTCATTATTAACAATTCAGTGGAACTCTATGTAGTGTATTTTATTTCATGCTGTGACTAAGAGCACTGAAATGTTTTCAATACTTTATCTAAGACAAAGGAAAATTCAATAAACCCCCACTCACTTCTATTTTTACCTTCATCATGGGATTTCAGTGATTAAAATTTCCAACTTTGCCACTTGCATTGAAGCTAGACCATTCCACAGAAAATCACTTGTGTGGAAGCTGGGAATTAGCTGTTCCACTACGAAAAATGAAATGCTCTGTGTGAGAGGCTAAACCTTCATTACTTACCAATGCTTCAGGTGGAGGAAAAAACATGGTAGTTCAAGATTTAAACTTCTGCAGTTATGTACATATGAAATGTTTTCTCATGGTAAGAGAGGAAACGAAAGGAGCTGGGATTGTTGAGCAGAGTACAGTTCTTAATATATCAAATCAGATTGGTAACAAACTGTTTCTCTTGCTGCTTCAGTAGGAATTGATTGCAGGAGTTTCTTGACCAGAAATGTCTCAAGGTCAGTGGAAAATATTTTGAGAAGAGATGTACCAGTACAGTTTCAGCAAGGACTGTTTAGTGTGTAGGTACTGTTCAATTCTTAGCTCTTCACAAAGTTCTGGGCTTTTTACATTGTATAGGCAACCCAGTATATAACATTGACTGCTGCAAAGGCTGCTGGGAACACTGCTCTGGCATATATATCGATGGTGTCAGCATCAATGGGCTTAAAGAGGGATTTCAGACCACTCTTTTTATCCAGTTTCATCTCTTGCTGCTGTTTAGTCTCTCCAGTCTCTATTTCTATTGTGCCGTATGATCCAGGCAGACTTCTGGGGATTCGGTGCTGCCTGTTGGAAATGGCCAGTTCCTGGTTCACACCAGCTATGGAGAGGGAAAACAGAACAATGGCATTCTTCACGTTTATCTGCAAAGGAAAGAGGAAAATATATAACAGCAATTTATAGCAATTTATACTTCATCCAAACTATCCATGATACTGACATGGTGAAACATATATGAGAGTGATAAATGGTATTTATCATTTGCTTCGGCAGAAAGACCTCTGAAAGCTTCTGTGCTATCACATCTGAGCTCTAAATATATTTTTGAAGTATAAGTCTTGAGACAGACTTTGCATCTCTTCTTATTTGTTCTCCTTTATTCTCTATTTTCCATCTTAAATACAGCAACCAATCATGCAAGGATATATTGCAGTCATCGTAGTGCTAACTGTGCACTGACAATTCCATTCAATTGTTTGCTATAATAGCATGACAAAAGTATCAGAGAATTGGAAAGGGTGTTAGATAATGCAATCTAGGCTCTGTTTTCCTATGAAAAGCTGGACCTGATGGCCTCTCAAGGTCCATTCCAACCTGGGCTGTTCTATAATAGCATTTCTATAAAAAGAATTTACTTCCATAAGGAGAAAACTTTGCAATGCAGAGCCATTGCTTTTGCAAATCTTTTCACACTACTTGGCTTACTGACCTCTCCACTCTGCCTTCTCGCCTTGATCTTGTTCTTCTGCTTTTTCATGTAGTCAGCATTGAAATGTGCAAAAGCATATTCTACCAGTGCAGCGAAGACAAAGACATAGCATATCCAGAAGTAAACATCAAGTGCCTTGATGGCAGATGCGCGAGGAAGCGAAGATCGGGCACTGACCATCAGAGTAGTCATTGTAAGAACAGTAGTTATGCCTGCAGCGTGGTATGAGAAAGCTCCTTTAGGTTTCATAGCACACCTTAATGAGCGCATTTACCAATCTGAAACAGTAGAAGACCCTTGGTTTCTGATTTTCCAGATTTAAAGAGCTTGTAAGGACTGTACATTTGCATGATTAAGGCAGCTTTGAACATCTTATCTTTGGTTTTCTTCTAGTTCTGGATAAAAATCCAGAAGACTTACTCTCAAAAACTTTAGGGTCTGGACTTGCATGCCTTACTCAGGCAAGCAGACTAACATGCTTTAGGAACACCTTTTTGTCACGGTTTCAGTTTCTTCAGGTCAGTTCTTTTATATGACTGCCTTACCTTCACTATTGCTTTTAGCCATCTTTAGGTGTCTGTGTTCTTTATTGATGTAACTGTTTTGATAGCATGATAGAAATTAAAGTGGGCAGGAAATATTTTAAAGGACAACCTCGTCTGCAAATTTAAACACAGTATTCATAAATGCATCTGAATGGAAAACGATACATTAGAGAGCATAGTTACACCATCAATGTACCCTTTCCTTTTAGATCCCCATTCTGTCTGTCTTACCTAATGACACCCTGGCAGGCACAGCTGACTGACTGATCCAGAAGGACACCCAGGACATGGCCACTAGTAAGATAGAAGGGACATAGGACTGAATGATGTAAACACCTCGATTTCGTCGTAGGTGGAAGTGGAGACTCAGCCTGGGAAACTGACCTGCTGACAAAAAGTGGAGACAAAGAAAAATTCCAACTGTGTGAGCTGCAGTTCAACTGATAGGCAAAAGAACATTTCCTACAGTGATGCAGATCTGCACTCTTAAACAAAATTCTTTTGGCCAGGGATCACAAAAAGCTTTTATGAATCTTTTTTGATTAGTCCTCATAAACCCTGTGTGAGGGTTTATACAGTTCTCATCAGCACAGTTAGCTAAGAATAGGTCAAATGATTTGTCTCAGGTCATATCAATGCCAGATCTGAAAATAAAATCATGAGTCTTCTCAAATAACAGTATTGCTTCAAAATGTGTACTGTCTTATCATCTGCTGTAGAAAGTCCTCCAGATACTAAATTTAGATTTTTTAAAAGGCCAAGTTAATTTCAAACTCAAAAAAGAGCTTAGAGGAGATGTGCAGCATAAATGAGGATCTGAATACATGAAAGAGGATGAAAAATCAGCAGGAAAGAAATGACTCCAATCTTTTACAAACATTGCAATAAAGCCAGTATATACATACACACCACTGACTTCTACTGGGTGGAATTAGAATGATTTGACTGTACGTCATAAGCCTCATAACATTAGGTCTAATGGAAATTTTCCTTATCCAAAGTTGCAAATTAGGTCAGGAAAATTTGAGTTATACCTTATCAAGCACTCTCTGACTATTCCATGCAGTATTTTCTCAAGCATATAGAGCTGAAGGACATGATATGCTATAGTGACTACCTGAAAGCAAAAGGTTACCATTTTTTGCAAACATGAGCTACAGAAAATTCATATCAGAAACCTGACAGATTGTTTAAATTAGTTACTGAGGAGGAGGGATTCTCTATTATAGAAATAGATTTTCCTGTATGAAAAGAATAACAGATACTGTCCCTGAATTGAAGACAGATCCTGTTACCAGATTTGAAGTTCATCAGTTCTGTTGTAAACTGGTAATTAGTAATTGTGAATTGAGCAAGCTGCAGCTTATCCAGCCCATGGATCTCATCCTGGTTTTCTGACCAGTGGTAGACAATGTCCTCTGAAGAGTAACCATCTGCCAAAAGAAAGCAGATTAAATGCAAAGCTTGGGGAAGAAATTAAGAACCTAGAGGGCTCATTGTGGAAGCACTGTAATTCCTCTGCTACACTGATTTTCATTGGTCCCATTGCAAACATGCTGTGATTCAGTCTAGATAATTCACTATCCTGGCAGCATCAGTGTTTCCAGGATCCCATCAGGGGTAGCTTTCCTACAGGGAGAATAATCCGAGTTGATTTGCACTGACTAACAATATGTGGTATGGCACAGTGCACTTCAGTGTCATGAGAAATGCCCATGTGCCTGCTCACAAGAGCAGAATAACTGCTGTTGTAGTGCTCAAACTATGCTACCTGCTCCAGTTAGAGAACAGCAGTACAGCACAGACCCATGTCCATCCTCAAATGAAGTAGCTAGCTTCACTATCACCATGTATATCAGGCTATTAATTGCTTTGGTTTGGCATGGGTGCCAGCTGGAAGAGAAGCACAGGGTACCAGGGATAGGAGAGAAGGATGGGAGATGCATGAATGAATTTATGTAACATGCCAATCCATAGGAACTTTTTTTTCTGGTGTTGTTGTTAATGCACAACTTGCTACAAAACCACTTTGTTTCTTTAAAGAGTCTTGCTTTTTACTTGTTTGTTGCACAGACATCAAAATCTCCAAATTCAATTAAAAAAACCTCAACCACCACCAAAATTCCCTGCAGAACTTGCAGAGGGAAAGAACTGATTGCTGGTTCAGTGTCTGCTGCCTCTACATTTGGTGATTACATAAGTAAAACTGTAGATTGCTATTTTTGACAGGATAAAATGGTATTGTGGTTAATTGCCTAGAAAACAAAGTCAGGGCTAAAAAATGAAAAACAGAATCTTAATTCAATAGGGCAGTGCTTCTGCTTAGAAACCACTACTCATATATCTAGAGCTCTGAGCTCCTCTAGATTCCAAAATATGCATTCATTCTGCACTCACCTTTTTGAGCACAAATGAATTTAAGCCGGTCTCTGAAATATTCTGATTGATTTTTGTGTAACAGATGGCTATGCAAAGGTTAGGCACAATCACATACATTAAAAATAGGGAATTCTTTCTTTTTCGTGTTTTTTTTTTTTTTTTTTTACCCCACAAAGGAAAAATAGCACACCAAATTTTGCCCATGGGCTTCTTTACGTCTTGCTGGACTTGATGGAAACCTCAGTAATGCTAGTGAAAAGACTGTCACAGTTCCACTAGGCTTTACATAAAATACAAAGTTCTGGACATTTGTTTTCAGCAGGACTTCAGCTTCACTGAATTAAATCCCACTTCTTTAAACTGGAGCTGAACAAGTATAACACAGTCCATCACCTGACACATAGAGTAAGGGATGTGTGTTTGTACCCCTTCTTTCTAAACCCATTACATTTCACTGATTAAAGCAGAATCACTCCAGTAAGTTCCCTCAAGCTAAGAACCATACATGCAGGCTTTAAGCAAAATATAGGTTAGAAGAAATGTTGTACTCAGCCCTTACAGCTCTCCAAGTCCAACATGCATTCCTGCTCATCCATTGGGTACTTGGAGAGGTCCATGTCACATGCCACTGTTGAGGTAATCCTGTCCAAAGCAAAATGAACACCAGTTAGTGGCATGCAGATAGAGCTGTGGACTTGCTTTTTCCTTGGAATTCAGAGACTAAATGGAAAACTTTGGAACCTTAACATTACTAATACAACAAACTATTCTCAAAGTACTTGCAGCAATTGTCTTTGCTACATATATGTGAAACACAGAGGTTTGGGGCTGGGAGGTGAAGAAAAATCAGATGCTTCAATGACTTCTGATGACAAAAAAGACTTTTCTGAGTCAAGTCTGCTCCTTTCCATTGTCCCTGAGTTCATTTCTTCCTTCAGGATGGCTTTGAATGTAGAATTTCAAATGTACACATATCCCTTTTTGGAATTATAATAGTTACTGAGTTCAGGAAAAGCACTCTTCCAAAGTGAAAAATACTGTCTTTGATTTAAATCAATAATTATTTTAGGAAATTTTCCAAAGGAAAAAAAAAAGAGTGATTACTTTTACAGTCTGTTCAGCAGGTGAACACATGGCAGAGGACACTTGCCCCCCGTCCTGCTTACCTTATGCTGTATAAGATGACTCCATCTGGCTGGAGCCTGATCAGTTTGTTTTCCACGGTCACGTCATGGAACCAGGCAGACTTGGCATTTACTATGAAAGTATCTGGCAACCAGAGCTTGTCCACAAAGCGGCTGTCCAGCCCCAGTGTTTCATTGGTGTGGTTGTAAGACAGGCGGTCATCTCGCCAGCTCTGGTGCAAAAATACTGTCATGGTGTATTCCTGTGACAAGAGAAATCCCAGTTAGCAAGCGATGCTAAACAAAGACGATAATGCCTCAGGACTTGGTCAAAAATAACTGAATTAGTTTAGAAATGTCCCCTGTGCACAAAGGTATTTTTATCCTCAGCCATAGAACTGTCCATGCATTTTAATTTGTTGTATGCTTTTAGCTTGGGTGGTCCCAAGGTATCAAAGAATTACTCAGAGTCAGTGGTACAGATACCATGTCACAGGAATTGCATCTGTTGTACTGGGGAAAACCTGTTCATGTATCTCCACAAGCACTGCCTTTGTTTTTGGAGGATTTTTAAAGCAAAACTAAAAAAAAAAAATCAGGTGAAGTTTTATATCAGCAATAATGGGAAAGGATGGAGGGAAAGTTCTGGATTTCAAATTCAATCTATTGTGTTTCAGGAATGCAGTTAATTCATACAATGGTTGATTGTGAGATTCTAAGTTGTTACACTCCATTGCTTTACTGAAAGGTCTTCACGTGGGAAGGAGGCACTTCTCACAACCAATGCTCCCCCTAGCTTTTCGAGGGAAGGATGTGTGGTGAAAAGGAATGTGAACAGCAGTTGGAGCTAAGGCTTAAAATCAGGCTGTTAGTGGTGTGGAAGTCTCAGTGACTTACACATATCCAGCATCTTTTCATTGCCAGCTTCTGCCCAAACAGAATCTGCCTGTGTCTTAAGATACAAAGTTTGTTCTTTGTGATATCTTCTGACAGTCATTCTACTCCAGACACATAAAGGATCACCTGTCTCTATTTCACCTTCTGCACCTGCTGTCACTGCACTACAGACATTCACAACTAAGTGCAACTCACAACGTACCATGTTCACTTCTGAGATGTGGTCAATGCTGGCTACTTCAATTGCAAGAGCAACATTAACAGGAGGACCTGAGAAAAAATGTTTGAATGACATGATTTACATTAGTATGTAGATGACCAAAGGCTGCTAACTTTTGAAGTATCAGTGATAAAGGAAATGAAATACAGTCACAACTACTGAAACTTATGTGATCTCTTCCAGAAAACATGACATCTCGTTTCAGATAGGATACTGTGTCTTCAAGCAAACAGAAATTGTTGCCACAATGTGATCCAAAATGACTTCAACTTAGGCATCAGCGGTTTAAGAACTGTAGCAGCAAGAAGGCTGCAGTGCTAATTTGTGTTTCAAATGGCAAAATAAACACATTTGCTACTGTTTCCAGAATCCAAGTATGAGATTAACACAACTTTTGAATCAGAGGACAAGTTCAGATAAACATCAGAGGGTAAAATAATCGTAAGAAATAAAAGGCATAACTCAATTTCTCACCTCCAATCCCAGGCCTGAAATTACGTGCATAGCCTTTCATCAAATCATCCAGGTTGGGTAACCAGGATATTTCAATGTTGGAGCCTATGTAATCTCCAATGTCAGTCATAGCTCTAGGAAAAGAGAATTGGAATCTTTTAAAACTTGCCCACATTTACAAACATGAAAATAACAGCAAATGGAGACACTGTCCTCTTTTACTCTCTGACCACCGACAGTCAAACCAGTAAGCATGAGTGGTACTTCAGAAGAACAACATTGTTTATGGTTGAAGACCATTTCAGATTTTTCTGTTTAAATCAAAACATATTCCAGGAAATCCTGCGGCTTCTGTCTGCAATAACAGTACTTACTTTCAAGAGTTTTAGAAATGCAAGGAAAGCATAAGGAAAACAGGATACTTTGTATACTGCATGAAATGCAGCTATCTACATCTGGATTGAGTGGAGAAAGTGAGGATCGAGGAAGGATGGATCTTCTCAAATGCAATGCGAAAAAGTGTAAAAATTACTAAACTATAATTTGAATTGAATCTTTGATGCTGTGAAAAGCCCTCAGATACTGAAAAGGCAATGCTAAGTAGAAGGTGTACGGACACCTGTGTGCTGCACATCTATGGTCTAAAAGGAATTTTAAAAGTGAACAGAAAACAGTGAACCATTGAAAGTAGCATCCCTGCAGTCTTAAGTAACACTGTAGATATTCTATAATCTCTTACAAACAAGCCAAGCTCAAATTCTCTTCGAAACTGAGCTGGCAAGCTTCATTTGCAGCAGATCTGTGCCTGCTCACATAATCCCTCTTGCCAGTGCTGTGATTGACACAAAAGGAATAGATAAATGGAGGATTGTGACAACGTCTGCCACAACTATTTGCAAAGAATTGCCAGTGGTTTGGGAGAGGCATCTATCTGAGTGCAGGTACTGTACGAGAGCTGTCTGAGCAATGTTTGAGCATCTCCTCCTGAGGCCAGCAGTAAATACAGCATTTGAGAGATCTATGTCACTAGTAACAGAGAGGAAGCTTGTTAAACATTGACAAAAGATTGCAGAGTAATATACCATAAATATATTCTGCCTTGGTACTTACATAATTTTCTTAGAGTGTTCATGTGACATTGACCCAAATAAAGCACATGGTTTTTCTCTCCAAAATATGCCAGTCCAGGCATTCAGCTCTGCACGTGCCGTTACTTCTAGCTCTTCTGAGTAAGGATCTTGGCAGACTCAGAGCCATATAATTTAGAATAAAATTTAAACAAAGGCTTTGAAGATTTATAATAGATGCGGTAATGTTTCTTTTGTTCTATATCACATCTCGCCAACTACAAAAATGCTTCTTTTCACATTAGGTACACAGGTGCACCCCCAGAAAACTGATTTATACTCAGTCACTTGCTATGAGGGAAGTAATGGTATTATAAGGACTGCCAGGAGCCTCATCTTTTTTATTCAAAAAGCATTTACAATGTGCAGCAATTACCCTGTGTCAGTATTCTCTTGTAATGGCATGTGGAGAGTCAGAAAGCTAAAAGGAAGTTAAAATGACAGAGTTGGGTTAAAAAACTGTGGGCCATAGCTTGCAGTGTTTTAAACAGATTACTATCTAGAGGGAGTTTTACTTAAATATCCATGACACAATTAAAAAGAATCTGGTTTCTATTATTAATAAAGCCTTAAGGTCAGATCAGTGTAACAAATCTGTTGAAGTTAGTAGAGCTATATCCACTTAAACCAGTGGGAGTTACAGAAGTGTTACACTGCACCCAGATCCAGTGCTTTAAAGTGACATGAAGAATGGTGGGAGAATTTCATTCATCATTCATAAGCAGTGGGGGATTACATATGGCCTTAAATATTGTTCATGTTTTTTACCTGAAGAAGGAAGACCAGCGTACAAAATATTCATTGGAGGGGATTAACTTTTTGTAACGTAAGCAGTAAAGATTAAAAGAAAGGAAACCACTAATAGTGGAATTAGCAAATTTGCTTCCTAATGTAGGCTGCTGTCAAACTTGTTTTAGTAAGAAAAGGAATTTGTAAAAGTAAGCTGTTGGCTTGTAAAATCCAAGGGATGTAACAGCTCATCAAAAAGCTTATCTTTACATTGCACCAGGGCAGAGCGGGATCCCAGGTGACTGAGCAGCATTCTCATGCGTACTAAAGGCACTCAGGAAGTCATTCTCAGATCTGAAGCTGCAGGAGATGGTTTGTTATCTCTTTAGACACATCTCATTTCAAGCAGAGAATATATTTTCATCCCTACAAATGTGGAGTTTCAGCATTGTGAGAAGTTCAACAGAACTGGTTGTTAACAACAGAAAACAGACTACTGCTGTTTAAACTATTAAAAAAAATTAGTTCCTTATGTAGTAGGCAAAGGAGAGAGGAAGTCACTACTGGTAGACCTGGAAATACTGCAAAGTTCTTCTTTGCCTAAGAAAATTGTCCTTGTCACAGGTTGGGAGAGCAGCTCTAAGCAACAGATCTCAAACAATACAGCAAAGAAACTCATCTCCTTTCGAGCTAAGTATTCTCAGTTTAGAATCAAAATACATATATACTAGAATCCTTCCTTTTCAAGCTGACATCTTTCTCCCAGCTGCTATGGGACTGAGATATTCTATTCATCTGGACTGATCTGGAGAAGCATCAATCAACTTGGACAGCGTGTCTTGTTAGAGGCTTCAGGCAAGTGAGATATTAGCCTATCTTCACTGCCTTCTGGAACACTGCTTGAAAATGGTTGCTAGATATTTATCAACTTTACTAGAAAAAAGTCTGGTACTTAAACTGAACAAAAGAAAGAGGCAACCTATATCTTCTATGTGAATAAGTGCATTACAATGGCTCAGTAAGATACAACATTAGTAATACTATTTTTGCACAACAGTGCCAGTAGCTCTGGCAGCAGTGCAGAAAGCTCAGCAGCATCTCTGTGGCCAGCAAGATACTCATTTCAGATCACACTTGTAGGGAGAGTGCTCTAACCTTGTGCCAAAGACATACTGCAGTGGGATGAGGAAAATCACTTTTTGCATCTCCCACTGCTTCTTTAGATCTGCTAGCCTGCCTGATTCCATTTGGGACAGTGGCACAGACACTATGCCAGTCTTATGATTTGAAAGATGGAAATACCAGTTTGACTGATAGTAAGGACTGGGGTGAAGTCTATTTCCTTTTCTGTGAGATAATCTTTTGGGGCATATGGCCCTGATGTCACCACCACTCAAGAAAACTTCTTTCTTGAGAAAAAGACAAGGAATATCCAGCAAGGTCAGTGAACAATCTGGCTTCTGTCAAGCTCCAGGATTATCCAGGGCGCTGTGTGTATCCTTCCCATCTGCCATTCCTGACTCTAAGTGAGGCTCGCTGTAAATATGTTCTGTATTTTGAAATGTAATTGAAAAAGCATTAGGCTTAATTCATGGCAACCTTTTGAACATCAAAGCTCCATCAAAGCGCTAAAACTCTCTGAGTTTTAAGCGACAGAAAATAGACTGCTCTGCATACATTCACGTGTTAGAGCTCCTCCATTTCCATGACTAGAAGTAAAAGACTGAGGAGGTTACACTGCAAACATATAAAAGCCATCTAATATTGTAGGATCCTAAATGTGAAAGACACACCTATTTTTAATTAGAGATCCATTATGAGACTTCTATTATTGCAGCATCCAAAGCATACCAAACTCTGATAAAACAGTCTTTCCCCAGAAAGCTGGCAATCATAGAAATGCCAAATTTCTTGCCACTTATCACGCCTCAAGCAGACCCAAAATCTTTTCCAAAAACGTTCACCTGCAAACAGCACTGGCATAGGGAGAATGTGCTGACTGAGGTTGAATCAGGCTCATTCAAACAGCACACGACAGAGAATTGCTCCAAATGCAGCTCTGTTAAGCACTCTCACAGGGTACTCAAACACAGGAAGCAGGCTGTGTGCGTTCCCCTCTCCTCTGCCAAACCTCAGCATCCTTTTAACAGGTAGCTCTGCCTTTGGGAACATCTCATGCGGTGCCACCAAGTTCAGAATTCTCTGAAATTCCTCTTCTTTTGCACACTGGTGCTCACAGCTGGCAGTGTGCAGCTGCACGTTGCACAGGGAATTCCGCGCCTTTGGACGTCCTCTGTCACCAGAACCATGAATCAAATCACATTTAGACAACAAAATCAGAGCAATGAAAATGTATCTTCTGATAGTTCAGCCCGTTGTTATAAAACCACGGTATCAGTAAGGCACTGCTCCCTGTAAAACCCTGTAAAAATAATAAATCATATGCCAGGACTCCAATATTGAAAAATAAGAAAGTTAATGTGCTTCTCGGGCTCTTCCAAGAATTATTATTTCATGCATCAAAAGCCACCTATGTGTGAGTAATTTCAGTGATGCAAAGGTAAAAATCTGTTTTAATTCCATGTAATAAACTCATCAAAAGGACACTTGCAAGCAAGATTACTGACTTGCTATAGGATTAAAGAAGGTTCTGCCATAGCCGTGCTAAACCCTGAATCATCAGCAAACTGTGCTGTACTAAACAGAGCAGCTTTCTTTGAATATTGAATGTCTTACACTTGGGCATATTTGGAAAACTACTGCAAACTGAACAGCTCGAAATTCAAAAGCTAGACTTTGCTTTCCCATGCTCTGTGCCACGAGTCTGTATATTGCTAACAAACAACATCACCATTGTGGAACTGGAGGAAGAAAACCAAGTAACAGGCAATTAACCCAGCATAATTTATCTAAAAAATTACAGGTTGCACATATCCTGGCAGTTACTGTGCCTGGAAACAGATCGTGAAGACAGAAGCTGAGAAGACTGATTGCTTCTTTTTTTTTAATATCCAAACACTACTTTTCAACCGAAATCCTCAGCCTTTGTCCAGTTCAGATCGTTTGGGATCACTGAAATGACGGGCAAGATCTCCACGCCTTTTGGTCATAAGCAAATCTTCTCTGCCTTTGGTGTCACACTGCGTGGCCGCAGGGCACAGAGGTGTCGGGCCATGGCCAAGGTCACGGGATGCACCACTGTGTCAGTCCTGAACAGGAGCAGCTGACACTTCCTCTGATGCGAGGTCCTTTTCCTTCCCAATGGAGAATGATAAGATCTCGCTAATTAATCCCAAAGGCCACAACTGCATTGTTAGTTCGTACACCACTCTGAAGTTATTAACAATATCTACAATACAGAAGTGGGAAGACCCCTTAAATATCACAGCCACGCGTGCTCTGGGTGATGTAGGCATGTTTTTGCATGCAGCAAGTCCTTTTTAACTCCCCCTCTGCTTTCATTGCATAATCCGGCAAGCTTTTTCCAAATCCAGCCTCCAGATCAGTAGAGAATATATAGAGAACATAGCTGGTTGCCTAGCTAACACCTTCTGACTGACTGCGACTGCGAATCGCAAACGTTCAGCTTTGGAATATATAATTTTAAAAAACGGTGTTCCTCAAACTTTTCCTGAGATGCTCACCAGCCCCATCCCTTCCCCTGGAGCCCGGAGGAGCGCTGACCGCCGGGACGGCCGCAGCCCCGCTGTGCTCGCTGCGTGCGCCGCGCTCCGAACGGCTGCTGGGGCGGCCGGGGCTGCACCGTGCGGTGCGGAGCTATCGCCGAAAGGGATTGCTCGTAATTTAGAGCGAGTGCCGCCAGGAGAACTCTTCCCCAAGCGTCCTGTTCGAAGCACGCCCCCGATTAACCCAACAAACCGCTGCTCGACCGCCCCGGGTCCTCCCGTCCGTGCCGCCCCGTTCCCGCTGTGCGCCGCAGCCCCGGGGCAGCAAAGGAGGGAATGGGAAAGGGCTGCCTTACCTGATGCACCTGTGCTGCTGGGTGCACAGTAGGACCAAGGCAGGAAAAACCCAGGTGAGAAATTCCATTTTACTCCCACGTATTAGATCGCGGCGCACAAAACCGAGGCTCCCCGGCTCCTTGGGCAGCTCCGAAGCTCCGCCGGTGTTGCCATCCTTCCTGCGGCAAGTTGAGGCTCAGTTTCAGCGCCGTATCGCCGCCGGGCAGCGGCGACAGCCCCCGTCGTCTCGTCCCCCCGCTCCGCTGCGCTCCCCTGCCCCGCTCGGTGCCGCCCGGCCCGGGGCCGCCCTGCCTGTTCCGTCCCGCCGGGAGATCCGGATGGGGGCAGCGGGATCGGCTCAGCAGCGCCGCGCTCCTCCTCCGCCCGGCCGCTCAACGGGCTGCCGAAAATAGCCCCTGCAATTACAGCTCCATCCCACCCAGCGCGGGAGAAAGAGAACTAAAAGTGCTGCCGAGACTGGGGGCACGTCCCGTGCAAATCATCGCCGGGAGGAGAACGAGGAGCCCGGGCTGCACGCGGGATGGAGGTTGCGGTAGAGCCGCCCCCGCCGCCGCCCCCCGGCCGCGCTGAGCTGCAGCTCCGGCCCGTTCCCCGCGGAGCAGCGCGGACTGGGGGTGGGAGCTGCGCCCGGGACGGGGGAAGCCGCGATCTCTGCGCTCTTTAAAAGCCGTCCCCGACCGGAGGTGCGACGCCGAAAGCGGCGGAGCCCGGACTGTGCGAACTTCTGCCTCAGCCTTTCGGCGCTCCGGAGCGAACGCCTGAGGTCAGCGGGCGGCAGCTGACACCGCTGTGCGGCCCAACCCGGCTGCGTTTCGTGGCCGGGCGGCATCGGCCGCGCTGCCGGGGACTGTGGGTTCAGCCCGAAGGTCGGACGCAACCTTCTCCTCCCTCTTCGCTCTTTTCTTCTCTCCTCCTCCTCTTTTTGCTGCTGTTCAGTCCAGAATGGCAATTTTAAAACCAATCCACAAAGGAAACGCTGTGTAGGAGACATTTTAAAGAAATTGTATTGTAAAAGCAAAAATGAACGCGTGAATCCTTTAATCAAATGAAAGGATGCCCGTCAGGGTAAAGTGTTTGGTTTACCCTTTTGTATGGTCGGCTTTTTCTTACTGATGAATACCATCAATCTAAATGGCAGCAAAGGGACGACTCGTTGAGGGCAACAACAGAGTGACTGGGAGGAACAGCTGTGCACATCATCTACATGTCATGTGCAGATGTACACAGCACACACACGTCAGAAATGTGTAAGAATAAGGTGGGGTTTTATTTGAGATCTTTTCTTTGCACACCATATCAGATCACACTCACCTCCAACACACAACAGGAGGACAAGACCTACATGTCAGCTCTAGCAGCTGAACTGTTGGGTGAAAACCGGTTTGTTGGAGGAGGGAAACCAAAAGATCAGTAATGGAACCTACAGGATGAGATACAGAACAGAAAGATTTTGTCTCTCTGCAAAGCAGAGCAGATTTACACCTTTCAGGATATTTTCAGTTGACATTTTTTCCGACTCCTCAGGCTGACGTTCAGTGAGCTGTGTACCTACTCTGAGAATTCCTTGGTGCTGCTTTTCTCTGGCTAGACAGCTGTCATCAAACCTACCAGTAAAAAATGAACACGCATTTCTATGTCTTCAGAATGCATCTGTTAAAATAGCAAAATGGACATGTAGATTTGTGGACACGTAGAATGACTTTGCATAGTACATATCTGCGTGAGCCTATAGGAAAACCACAGCAGTGTAGTCTCTAAAAGGAAAGATGTTGCTAAGAGTTTGACCACTGCAACAAGTGAAAATAGAATGGTGGTCCTCTAGAAGAATTACTGCTGCATTCCTCCACAACTGCTCTTCCAGTGCCTATTGACTTGGAGTCCATGAAGAAAGGTCTCTGCTTCTGGCAGTGAAGTGACTGCTCACAAAACCTTCAGTGGCATTGTGATGGGAATGTGTTTGCCTTCAGGACTGCAATAATTTCTTGGACAATTTCTGATAATCCAGGTATATTATCAAGGCTCTGATTATGCCCAGTCATTTGACCAGGAATGTGTATTGCTGGAATCATTTTGAGTGAGCTGGCCTTGTGCTGCAGACTTGGATGGATAAGAGGAACCTACACAGCCAATCTCCCAGCAGCACCAGCACAGTGGTTTAACAAAATCCTGTGTTTTTTTCCCAGGACTGATTTAGCCACCACTACATGTCTATGCTTCAGAAACAGAGATGTTCTAAGGTCCATTTGCACAAAATCCTAAAATAAATGTGCAACTTCTCTCAAACAAGCAAACTACGTTTGATGCAATGGGCCATAATTATATTGGATCTGTTACACAGAAGAAAGACCAACACGTGGTCACTGGGCTGTGTTTTCAGTTGATTCTGATTCAAATAAAAGTTTCAGCAAAACAGTCTGCTAAATAAAGAAATATATGGATGTACACCCCCACTCAACAGGAGTAATTCCTATTAGCCAAAGGAAAAAGAGAGGATAAAATAATAGTGATACATATATTTAATTTCCTACAATTCTAGCAGAATATCCCAAACTCTTTAGAATCAATGACAGATTAAAATTGCTCAAGAGGGAGATTAAAAAAACAATTAAAATTGCTATTAAGCATCAAAACAAAAGAAATAAGCTCCCTCAATCTTTCTCATCTAATCCTCTTGAAAATAATTGAAGCTTTCCTTTAGCTACTGGCTTAGAGCTGTCAAACAGTCTCACAAAGATGGCCCCAACAGCCATTTTTCCTTAAGCCTTTTGTCACTCTGTTGATTTGCCATCTCTCCTCCATCCCTATGGCTGCAGGCACAGCTTTTCTGGGAGTGCTTCTGCCTTCTGACCTCACACACGGAGCTCAGATGGATCAGAGACCTCACGATGGCCCAGCTGCAGCCACAGCCGCTGCCTCCTTCCCACCACGTGCTGCCAGGGAGGGCTGGCTCTGCTGCCAGCAGCACCAAGAGCTCACATAGCCACACCGAAGTCTTACAGGCAAGAAATGCACCCCACAGATCATTAGCTGAATTCTCCCACGATTCCACATAAACAGCTCGTGAAAGACTGTTGTGGCAACGTCGCCAAATGTCTCTGGAAACATAAATTACACACATATGCCTATTTTTATAAATGAGATTTGGAAATATCCTTGGCAATCATATGGTGGGAATATTTAGCTCCGTTCAGAGGTTGCACAGACGCGATTCCTCGCGCTGTATCGACGTCCCACAGCCCAGCTCTGAGATGCACGGCCGGTATTTAAGGACTGGACAAGCACAGCATTGCAGTTACCCTCAGTAAGGCTTCCATCGATGTTCTGCTGATATTTACACTCAGACATCGCTCTGCGTTGTAGAGCAGAGACGGAGAAATTGTTTTACATAATCTGAGCCGCATTGAAAAAAATAAGATTCCATTATTGGCATTTCTTGCTGCCAAACAGCTAGAAACCTCCATAGAGGAGCTGCTGTCACCTTGGAAACGTTCAGGAGGAAGAACCGACCGCCTGAAGAGCAGCATGGAGCCACGCAGCCTCCAGCATCACTCTGGTGCCCAGTTGGTGCTACAGAACTTCACCAAAACGCCTCTCAGTTTGGGATTTCAGCAGTAGGATTTCAATTCATTCGTGCTCACTTCTCACAGGCTATCACCCACAGCTGTGCATATGGGACCTGGGCATCAGGGAGTGCTTCTGCACGCCTCCTAGAGCTTAAAGTGGGGGTGGATCCATTGACTACCACTGGGTGCAGTGGGAATCGAGAGGAGCTTGTCTGGGGAACCGTAACTTAGCACCTTCGCAGGGACTGCAGATAGCTTCTCCCATGTGCACGAGAGAGCAGAACGCTGGCCTGGTGACAAAGGTTCACCAACACGCACTGCACTCACTCCCAGTTGATACGAAGGTACCAATTAGCCGTTATGTTTTGACTCAAGCCGGTTCCGTTCACAGGAAACTTAGAGGTCACGCTTGTCTTTATTGATTGCCGAGGCTGATCCTGGGATGTCGTCGCTCTGAAAATGAGCCGAGCAGGCGTGGAGCAGCCACGCACACGCACCGCGGCACATCCCACGCGGGCTGACCGCCTCCAGCGGCTGGGCTCGCGGTCCCTCCGCTCCCCCGGCGCCGCGTGGTTCGCTCCGTTGCCGGGGCAGCGGCCGGGGATCCTTCCGTCGGTCCTTCCGTCGGTCCTTCCGCCGCGCCGCGGGGCTTCGGCAGCGCTCGGGATGCTCCGGGCACACCGCTCGTGTCGGGGGTTTGTTCTTCGTGCAGCCCCGCTTTGCCTTTAAGGTAGCTCTGGGCGCTTAGCTCGGCTATATCCCTACTTCGCACTCCACTCCGTACCTCTCGTTCCCTAGCCAGATAAAAATGCTTTCTTCTAGGCTTCTTTTATTAATTAGCCAATTACTATACATATAAAAACGCTTTGGCAGCGTCCTTACTTCTCCACAAGAGATTTATGGAAGTTAATACTCGGAATTTGTGACTGTACCCTGTCACTACATATACCTTAAGTGCTTACCGAACGCTGCTCATTTATCTCCTGACACAGGCACCGACTTGAAGGCTTCCTGGAGATCTCTGTGTACTCACCGACTTGCAGCCGTCTCCATGTCAGCACGCTTGCTGTGACAGAACCGCCGGCATGGCAGACAGTGAGCCCGGGGGTGGAGGAGAGGAACCAACTCTCATCCCATTTCTGGAAGAGGAAGGCAACGGTGCAGCAGCTCACAGCTCTGACCTGAAAGAACATGAAGAAGGTGAACGTGAGAAACCACAGCTGTAACTTGCAGAATGCTGGGGTTAACTTCCCCATCCACAATGGGAACAGCACAGTTCTAGGGGCAGTGTGATATTCCAAACCAATGAAATGATTCCAGTCATTTTCTTCTTAGCATTACAGTGTAACAGGTATAGCTACTTCAATCTTAAACCATTCTTATTCTGTAGCAGTAAATCCCCTACTTAATCTGCACAGCATTTTGACTCAGACTTAATGATGGTGAAAATCAGTGTTTGACTGTATGGATTCAGTTCAGACATCAGCAGCTGCTGCCAGCGGGTGCTCGCCTTTGGTGAAGGGCTCTGTGCCTGCAGAGGGACACAGGTTGGATCCCCCAGGGCACCTGAATGGCACCAGCTGCCTATTAGCAGGTGACTGACTTCTGTGTCAGAACATGTGCTCAGTTACATCACATGAGTCAACATATCTACTGTTTAACACTTTACCATGCATCATTTAGTGCTGACTACCGACATCTGCGTTAAAAAGCTGTTCTTGGGTTATTTCCTTACTGTCATTTTACTTATTACCTAAATACACAATAATATATACATAACTCATATTCAATAATGCTTAATAAATACTTAGAGGATTCCATCTTCACTGCAGGTTGGAGTAATGAGGTGTACAGAAGGGTGTTCGTGTAACATGAACACACTATAGGCTGTTGGCATTTTCCTGCTCTGGTTCCCAGGTGTACAGCAGCAGCCTTGCATGGCCGATTTTTAATAAACACTGCAGTAATGCTATAAAATGTAATCTCTGATTCCCCACATATTTTGACTTGGCAGCAAGTACATTAGTGCTCTTCATTTTGAAGCTCAAAGTCTCTTTATTAAACTGTTGTTTTAATTTCTATTAGAATACAAGCTTGAAGAAGATTTGTCTGATGATGGCAAGATGGGGAATGAGGTCACTTCTGAAGGAACTGGAGACAAGTCTGAACATAGCAGGTAAATAATTCATGGCTTTGTTAGCAGCTCCAGTAATAACTTCCTTTGTAGTGGTGATTTACCTTTTCAAGAAGAGGTTTGGTTAACTCAGTTACATGTTTTTTGTCAACTGAGCCCTAGGCAATATGCATACATACAACACGTGGTTGCACCACATTCATGTGGGCTTATCAGATCTCAAAAGAGCATTTATTAGCCTGGGTGGTGCTACACCAAGCAATGCTTCTAAAAGCCAGCCAGTTCTCTGTAATAATATGCTGTGCTATGTTCAAATCCCTCTGTACTTACAGAACAACAGGAATTACTGGAAAAAAATGGAATAATATCAGTGTTGGATTGTAAGTTTCTGAATAGAGAGAGCTTTGTTCCACTGCGTACAGTCGATCAGCACAGAACTGGTATGATGATAGCTTGGTACTACTTTGGTTTTACAAGTAGGTGGTAGAGTGAATTTATTCCTGGAGAAATAAATTTGCATGTAGCAAAGGTCATGCGTGGAAAATAATTCAGTGGTTTGAACGTGGCCTTAAGGAGCTGCTGCTCTCTTCACAAAGATCAAAGCACAGTTTGGCCTGTTTGACAGACTGCTAATCTCTGCCCTGCAGTGTCCTGGCATAGGGTTGCAAGGCATGATGAAAAGCTGGAATACTGTTTATTAACATATGTATGTGGGAAGTTGCATAGCACATATGCCTCCTGCCAGTAAATGTTGACAGTGTTACCATTATCAGCAGAGAAACTCAAAATACACCAAAGTGATCACACACAAAAAAAAAAGCTAACAAAAAAAAAATCACCAAATAACACCATCACCCATCTTCTGACTACTTCTTTCTATATGCTTAAATAGACAAAAAAAGTAAGAGAGCTCACTCACAAAATGAACAGTTCTACACAAAGTTTTAAACTAGTTTAGAACGTTCCCTTCAAAGTTTTAAAGTAATGTTCAGGAAAAGTAAAACCTGAAAACCATGGGTATGATCAAGAGGCTCAGACATTTAAAACCAAAGGTACATACTTGCAGCAATAAGTGTACACTATTAGATATTTAAGACTAAAAAACTTGGCTTAAATGCACATACTCAAGATTTTTGTACAGATTATCTTTGCTTTTTCCTGACTTACACTGCTTGTGTTCACAGCAGTTTGCTAGAACGAGTTAAACCAAAACAAGGAGCTCACAAATGCATAAATGATTGTGCAAACTTTGTGGAGCCTTTAGACTTCTCATCGTGTTTTCATGCTCATCATATATTTCAATTCAAAGGGACAGTTTGGAACACTGCCTGCACAACGTTACAAGCAGTCAGGCTCTGAAGTCTGCAGATAGAATTTGCTTATTTGCTTTACCCAGCAACCTAAACGAGCTCAGCAGCATCGCCAAAGAAAAGAAACTTGTGGTCCAGAAAATCAGGTCAGTGTTGAAGGAAATGAAAGCCATCAGCATGAATGCACCATCAAATACTGGGATGCTGTACCTGTTACAGATTTATAGCATATATATAGTTTTGTCATGAGTGTTATGTGATACAAACACTTGCTTGATTTGATGTATCCAATACATTCCAAGACCCTTGTAAAGAATTAGGGATAAAAATGAAAAACTAAAACACTAATAACAATGCTAAAGAAGAGAGTTCTGATCTGAAATAATTAGACATTAACTCCTTTCAGTTATATCAGCACAGTTCTGCTAGTTCAACAATCAGTTAGAAAAATTAAATGGAAAATTCATTATAAATATTTTCTTAACTGTGATAGAAATGTTACATCACAGTCAGTGATGCTGCATACTTCAAATATGCACCTGCTTTGAGCAGTTTGCAGTGCTAAGATGTATAATCAAAGAATATACAGATGCTATAATTATGAAATAAACAAGAGAGTTTGGCTAAGCAGACTATTATACCAAAAAGAACAGATAGAGTGCTTACCCTTGTCATGGGCCCACTGTAAAATTCCAAAAGAGGGATCTCCAGAAAGAGATCCTTCCCCACTGGTAGTCAGCTCTTAAATGGGTCTAGAAGAGGTGCAGCCAGGCTCCACCCCTTCCAGCAGCACAGGTGAATTGTCTTCACCTGTGCTCCCAGGGCTGACTCATTGCTCACCTCAGGTTCAGGCCATGATTCAGCAATTCCCATACATAAGTTAAAAAGACTTTCTTTAGCAGAAGATGGATCTGCAGAGGGATAATGTAAAAAATGCTGTTTATGCTGTTGTCTTTTTTTGATAACATGGATAAAGTCAGACTGAACTATGGTTGCTTTTCTGGATTTTTAGAGAAAATACTTGAAATAAACATGGGCTTCTCAAGAACCTCATTGTAAAGTCTTAGAGAAAAAGTGGTGGGGAGGTGGGGTGTTTGAGGAATCCCAACAATTTTATCCTTCAGAAAGAAGAGTTTCACGGTTGAGGAAACTTAAAATGTAAATGATGTGTTTATTTGTTTCAGAGATGAACTGACTGCCTGCCAGCTGCGGATCAAAACACTAGAAAAGCAGCTGGAGAACGTAGACATTGAGACAGAAGAAGAGAAGGAGGCTGGCAACGTGTAGGTAGAGAATATTTCTGGGTGCCAAAGATACAGGCATCCACTGTGTTTATCTGGCTTAATTAATGAGTTTACTTATTTCACCTTGTCATGTTGTTGACAGTGAACAGAATTTTTCAGCACACGCATTCAAGATGTTCATAGGTCAATGAAACCCAACAGAGTTACATCTTATGCTGAGAATGGCCATAGCTTGGAAGGCTGTTCTGACAGGAGTGCTATTCTGAATATTCAGAGCAAAGCTTTCATTTCTGTCTTGGTGAATGCTAACATTGCAGTTGCTTTTCACGTGGCTTGGGATTTTCAGCAACAGCTTCTCCCCTTGAAATAAATAATGGTGTGTTAGCATGGACACCACAGATCTCTGTGCTTTCAGGCCTGGGGCTCTGTCAGTTAAATCAGAGTGCAGAAGGAGGTGGAGACTTAGGAATGGATAGGAAAGAGACATGTATTTTAAAGGAGCATCCAACAACAAGTTATTAGTCAGCCTAGCACACTGCTGTTATGTTTATCAGTCCCCAGTAAATCCTGTTCATTATGATCAACCAGTGCCAGTGTGCCATGTCAGTTTTAGAGGTGATGCTTTTTTCCTAATAATTACAACCAGGATTTATATGTATGCTTTTTTTTTTTTTTTTAATTGTTTTATGTTGTGAAATGCACGAATGCCTTTCAGGAGTAGCTCTGCATACAGGAGCTGTTCTGAAACACTTGTGAGGAAGTGGGAGGCAATTTACTGTACTCCTCACATTTGGTTTAAATAGAAAGAAGTGGGTGGCTTGTGTACCAGGAGCCACTGCATTGTGAACAAACTTTGCAGCTGCATTTTATGACCTGTGTTATTCTTCAATAAGAAGAATCTTGGTGCATCAACAAATGACAGGATAACCAAGGTGGGTTAATTGCCAAAGTAGAATGACTGATTAAACAAAAACGAGTTGAGTGCTAATCAGACTTCTGTGGCAGGTATTAGTACTGCCTGCTCAGGATCTCAGAGAGACTCTTATTAAGAAAAACCAACAAAGACAGAAAAGCATTGTGTGAGGTTTTTATACTTATGACAAGTCAAATTGTGAGGTCTAGAAAAGTGGAAAATAGCAATTTTCACAGTCTATTATATTTAGCAAATTAATAGTGAAGACTTGATGAGTTCCTGGCTTACAAAGCTCAAGTACATCATTTTGTAGCAATAATGAAAATACTGTCTGCCACAAGCAGTACTGAAGCCTTACAAAATTTGTGAAATCCAAGTAGTAACTTCAGCTAGAAGATCCATTTCCAAGTTTCACTTCCAAAGATGGAATTTATGTTGAATAAATTCCGTTTGTTGTCTATTGATTCTGCAGTGTGCTGTGCAGTCATTTTCCTGGGTAGAGAAGCCCAAGGAAAATAAACAGCTGTGTTGTTACACTGCTGCTGTAGCCAAAGTGCACGAGGTACTTAGTGCCATTCTAAAGGTGAAATCAATCAAGGTTCTCTTGGTTTGCTTATACTTATTAATGCTTCTTTTATCAGTGTAAGAAATAATCACTTGGAGCCACCTGCCAATGATTTTTAAAGTAAATACTCCTGTGTAAATATTGACAAATTTGTAATAGTTCAAAGAAAGGTGCACCTCTGAACAACAAATGGACACTTAGCAAGCTGAGTAAGAGACCCTGTATAAGTTGATGTTATTCTAATACATAACTCTCACCCTCAAAGCTATTATTTATTGTTGCTGACTTTGTTTGGAAGGAGTTTTTGATATGTTTTTTTTAACATTAATTAGTTCCAATTTCTTTCTAATTGTATCTTTTTTATGTACCAGCCCAGCCGTGTTCCGCCTACAGGCAATGCATAGGCGACTGTGCACTGAGCTGGAGGATGAGAAGAATTTGGAGTTGAAAATTGCTTTGACACTGAAAGAAAACATGTAAGTGATGGAATGAAAAAAGTGTGTGATGGGAGTCAGTCTTTATTATTTTCTTCCTGTGCTGTTTAATGGATCCCAAAGTTAATCTCTATGGAAACTGTTAGTAAATACTGAGCTACACAATTTGAGGACTGCAATGGTTCACTGCAAAGCAAAGGATCTTGAGAGCAACTTTTAGCCTAAACAATTAATTGTTTAGGAAATTGGTTGCTGTGGCTCAGATCCAGAGTTAATTTTGCACACATAAATGAAATTTAAGTCCCAGTTTAATTGGAAAATAGGATGGATTAAAGTAGACCTGTCTGCAATAGCAATGAATAAGCATAAATACTTCTAATTTATGCCTCAGTTTTGAAAGCAGCTCACGCTTTGTTTTAAAGGCTTGAGATGTGGCAGATAGAGACCCAGCAGGGAAAATATGAAATCCTCCACAAACAACTTAAAAAAGATGAGGAGGAGCTAGAGATGCAGTACCAGGAACAAGCAGAAGTGAGGATTCGGAAGGAAAAAATAGCAGCACTGAAAGCAGAAGAAAATCAGCTGTCTTTAAAAAAGTAAGTGGGGCTCTGCTTCCTTTCCCTCCTTCACATGTAGCCAATTCATTATTTCATGTGTTGAGAAGATTAGTTAATGGAAGTAATCATGGTATTGTATTTCTGAGCTGGATTTTGGCTCTGAAATATTTGTGTGAGGAAATAGAATTAAAGTAAGTATTTCCCCCAGTCTTGTCACTATTCAGATAAAGATTTCTGACATGATTAACTTGCTAAAGACAAAAACTGTGAATGCTTTTTGTCTAAGGAATTTAAATGTATTAGGTCAGACTAAGTGCACGTGTCTGCATTGCTGCTGGATGCCAGGACATTCTTAGGATCTTTTCAATGAAACTTGGAGAGAGAAAAAGGATCCCAGGTTATCAGTTTGTAGCTTTTGTGAAGACAAGAGACTGTACAGAGGGGGAGAAAACACTGTCCCCATTTCAAGACATACAAATATACTTACTCCGCTCCATTAGATATCATTTCCTTCATGCTGTTGCCTGTCTTTCACAGAAAAGAAGAGGAAGCACAGAAAGAATATGAAAAAAGGCGTAAAAAAATGCTTGAAGGTGCCAAAAGGAACCATGAAAAAGCAGTTTACTTCCTGAGAAAAAGCATGGCGAGGTAATCACTAACTCTTATTTCCCAGCACTGTACGTTCTCAGTATGCAGTGCTCTATCCTGTACTCTTTGAAAAGTAATCATTTTTCTGCTAGATTATGTCCTGGTATTACACTTGGAAATCTGCTACAATGCCAATGCTCCGAAGCTCTCAAATCTTACATGGCACAAAAGGACACAAAAAAAGAAAATCCACCTCCTGTCTTGGTGCAGTCTTCAGATTCCTTGCAGCTGAAGGGACCATTTTGATGAGCTGCACAGAGCTCTGACCACTTGTAGGCATTGATAATCATTTACAGCTCTTACATATATACGTGTGAGATAGCTCAGCTGAATTCCAGGTTGGAAACTTGCCTTTTTGCATTACCTCTGAAATGCAATAAAATAGCTTTCTTGCTGTCTGCTAACACTGACTCAGAGGGCGTTTCTGTGTGCTCCCGTTCTCTTATGGTGGATGGTAAACTGAGTGTTTTCTTCATAAGTCCATGTTTGTACAATTACTGTAATATTAAATTATTTTGTTACTCAAGGAACTGAGCATTTGTTACTTTTACTTGTATATTAGGACTTAATTGACAAAGTGATTGAAATAATTGTACTGTTTTTATGGTGCTTTATGTTTTTCCTTAGATAACACGTACAAACTTAACAGTAATTAAAATTAACAAACTGAACGAAATCAGTTGATCTTTTTTGCTTAGTATCCTACTGGCTTTTTTTTTTTTTAGTTTACAACTATATTAACTGGGATACTCACAGTCTTGATTCATGCTCACGTATCTCAAGGTTTTTTAATTTCTATGGTTTATTTTCAGTGTAGTTTGCTTGTCTAAAGTTCAATATGTCTATTGTTTAGATATCAATTTCATGATCAACATCAGAATTCTTACTTTATTTTAGCAACTAGACATATAATGTGAAATGCATTTCTGAGTTCAAAACATATTAAAAAAAAGTTGTTGAGCAAACTGGTTGAAAGCCTGTGGGCACTTGTACTCAGAGGTACTGTACATAGAGGGCTTTCTGAACTGTTCTACTTCACCCACACACAGTATTGTTGTGAACAGAGAGACATGCAGGAGAGGTGTTAGGTGACTTACACAATTACTGTTTGTCAGGTTAAATGTTCTAATACTAAAAGCTTTCGAGGATATAAGCTGAAAGATTTCACTCTGCTTACAGAATTCATGAGAAGAATGCAAAGGAAGAAGCGAAAACTCAGGAGCATATGGAGAGAAGGATACAAGCTGTGCTCTCCCTGAAAAACAGCATAACTTCCAATAGGGTACTGCTGCTGTGGCTGAGCTGGGGAATGAAGAAATTGACTTGTTAGACTGCTACTGCTAGCTTTTATTGAAAGTAATTCCAGTTTTCACTGCAGAATGGGTGTGTGATGCTGCCATTCTGTAGACCAAATCTCTTTTTAAATGGAGGAGAATCTAACTATGGGACATAGTGGTATTAGATCTGTATGGACACATTTTTGACACTTCTACTTAAGGAGCCTTTTTGTGCTCATTCTAGCTGCTATGGCACAGTAGCTGTCTTGAAAATAATTCATACTGCAAATAATCTTCCAAAAACATGGCTGAAGTATTTCCAGTTATTCAGATCTGAAAATGAGAAATACTTCATATGGAGAAAACATACAGAAAAAAGCAGTTACTTAAGAGTCTAAATAATGTAAAGTAAGAATTTCTGAGGTAAGCTACTTCCCTCATTCATTTGTGTTCTTTAGAATGTGAGGGAATGATCTTAATTTAATACTGATTTGATAAGAGCTGTAAATATCCTGTAAAAATTGCTTAATTGAAGAACATTTCAAAGAAAAACCAGAAGGGGAAAGAATTAGTGCTGACTTGTCAGAGCTCCCTGCATCTCCAGCACACGCAAACTACTGACAACTTGCTTGACTGTTGTATATATTAAAAACAGTGGACTGTATTTGAGATAAAGCTAGCACAAATTAGATAAGGAGACCAGAGTCCCTCTTTGATTTTCTTTAATGTGCAAATCAAATATGAAGTTGTGGTTTGTTTGGGTCCATAGGAAAAACTCCAGGCTCTCCAGACTCGGAACCAAGCAATGGTTTTTGAGGCAAAGAAACAGGAGATGACAATGAGGGAGGCTATCCTTGCAAAAGGAGGCAATGTTGCCAAGGAAATTTTACTCCATAAACGTCTGCTACAGCATGAAAAGGAGAAAGAGTAAGTATTTGTTTTTATATTGTGCTCTCATTGCTCACTGGTGTTCATGAAGGAGTATTTTGGATCTCTTCACTGGATTCCAAAAGCATAACATATAATATATGGTGCTGTCTTGAGAGAGTGAACTCATTCTTATACTCTGGAAGTGTGAAATTCATACAGCCAGTTTTAAGTGACTTGAAATTCTAGCTTATGCATTATTCAGAGAACCAAAGTTTGGAGCCCGTGTTCTGATTACTGCAAGGAGGATAAACCACTCCAGGAGGGCAATTCAGTAAACCTAAACCTAATGCTTGAAGTAGCAGCACTCCTGTATTTCCTCAACACTGTCCATATAGAAAACTGCAGTGCAGCAAGAGTGCAGTCTCCTTCCTGCTGCTTTGGTACGGACAGAGGTGTGCCTGTATCTCACCTACTCTGGTGCAGAGTTAATTATTGTTTTTAACCACATATGAAGATGAATTTGAGTCAAGGTGTTAAACAGAAGGTGGTTGAGGTATGTGTTTCTGCATGCTGGCTCTTCTAATCTATAGCAAATGCTAAAAGATGTAATAAGCAAAGATTCAATCAGTTTTGATAAATAATGCTTCACCCTTGATAGCTGCATTATACAACTTCTGCTATCACAAAAAGCATTCTAAAAATCCCATTAATAAAATAACCGTACCGGTTGGTAGAGATCTGCAGGAAATATCTAACTTTCAGAAGTTTAATCTTTTTGCCTCTTTCTTTCTCCTTGCTTGCCTTCTCCCTCTCACTGTTTCCCTTTGCAGGCACAAGGGAGAGCAGTTTGTTAGTCTTAATGTTCAGCTGTGACACGACTGCACTTTCACAGCAGTTCTTTTCTAATTTCAGTACCGCTCCACCAGGCGCCTGAGGAACTGCTGAATTATTCCCCCCAGGGCTCTACCTTTCTCCTTTTATGTGAAGGGATACTCTGTTTTCTCAGAGCACATTTTAGCCTGAATAAATCTTTCTGAATTGCCTGCAAAAATTTAACTCTTTAGTCACTAGAGCCTCTAACTTAATTTGTACATTTCCTATGAGTAGAATGAAAGTCAAGAACTAGTAATAGGAACAAAGGATGGCTTTATACCTAGAGCAGGTAGCACTGGGAGTCAGTGCACCATTCCTACATTTTGTAACTTCTCTGTGCCTTGGTTTTCCCAAAATATAAATACAGTGGCATTTATGTGCTGCGATGGGGTATCGTGAGGCTACACTAAATTTGTGGTGCTTCAGTGGGCAATAGCCTGCATTTGAATAAGAAAGGTGATAATATCTTCTCTCCTATTTAGAATCAGGAGTGATATGAATTACTTGAAAAGGTGAAAATAAAGATTTTGGTATTAGAAAGGATCATTAGCATGGATAATGTCCGTTGCAGAAAATTGTATATTAAACTGCCAGTATTAAAACTGAGATTAAATGATCTGCTCAATGCATCACAGAACTGTAGCTCTGAATTTATATGTTTCATTTTCATTTCCTATGGCCTTACCTTTAACCCTTCTTTTGCTTTTTTACAACCTACTTGATTTCAGATAGCCAACTGTCATCAACTTCTAAAACACTCAAATGGAATGTGTTTAGTCTAAATATACTTGCCCTCTGAATCCCATTGTGTCTTGACACAAATTACTGCTGCTCCCAATTTGGAGACTTGATGTTGAGCTTAAAGGCTCGAAAAATGGACTGTAACATTATTAACAAACAACTTGGCTTAATGTTTCTTATAACATCTTCTTATAGAGCTTTTAGAGAACAACAAAAATCAAGAAAAATTGAGATTGTATCTAAAATTCTGCAAGAAAAAGCTTCTATTTTCAAGCAGAAGAATCAGCAGTCCTGTACTAAGGCGATTAAGAGTGGTGGTAAATGTAAGGATTCTTTACTGCAAAGAAAGAAAACATGGCGCTATATTGAGAAGACCTGCAAACGTGCAGCTGGGGCACCACAGGTAAACAAACAGAAACATCTCTAGGTTTATTTTCTATCAAAGCTGTAGGAAAGTGAATTTTGATTGTACCTCTGAGTAGCATGGGCTGCAGCCAAATACCAGATAGTGCAGAGTGAGTGGAGAGTCACATCTCCGTCAGTCCGTCAGATCTCTTGATGACCATTAGTGTCTCTATTTTTGATGGTTGGTACTTTCATTCATGAAAGTTGCTGCTTGGTATGGATGGTTTTTTTGTTTTCATTTCTATTTTTAAGGGTATTTGTAAGAAGTGTATTTCAGACATGTGAATCACAACTGTCCCCAAGAGGAATAAATTTACCTTCACCCCCAAGTAAGGATTCGGATCAGACTGTCAGCACAAGAGAAATGTGTTTTCATGACAACAGATTTCTGTTTTTTTGGGTATCTTTCATGTATTTGTTTTGTTTTAATTGATCTGCACAATATTACAGGCAGTACTTGCCTGGAAAGGAGAGGTGGGATGAACTGAATCCCTTGAGGAAGCCTGTGTCTGCATGCAATCCTTAGGTATTTTAAAAATAGGGAGAGAAGGTTTGTGGAAATAGTCATAACAAAGCCAGAATGTTCTTGGTTATCATATAGTAGATATAACAAAAAAAAAAAGTACAAAACCCAAAAATGTACACAGTCACTATTCACAACCCCACCCTCCTATAGAATACAGTTATCATCCTATAGATGCTCATTACTGCAATATTGTCTGAGTTGTCATTTTAAGAAGGGATTGGCTTAAGCTGTCATCTTCAGCCTTGCAGCTTTATAGACCAGTCACTCTGTATTAAAAGATATCCTTGGAAACTGTTAACTGCTCGTGTAACTGCCCTCTAGTAATTTGAAATGGTATTTCCAAATTTATTTTCTCCCACAGAAGTCGTGGTGCTCTCCGTCAGTTTGTTCCCCAGCTGGTGAGAGAACTGCTTCTGTAGGAAAGTGTTCTGAAAAAGTCCCCCATGATGTGCTCTGTGAAAGTGATGAAGACGAGAAGGAGAGGGATGAGATCCCAGCAGAACCAGAGCTCCCAGGACTATCGAGTCAGGAATGTGACTTGCACAATGTAAAATCTGTGGTGTTTTCTCTTAAAAATAGGGAAAAAAAGATGTGGATATGTGTATTTGTCCTATTGTTACACTGAAGTCTATAATGTCTTGGAATTATTCATGAAAGTGTCTAAATGGATTAGAAAAGTTTCGTTTCCCTCTCTAGTAGTTGTACATATCTGAAGAAATGACACTGCCAGGTGCTGCTTTATGAATGCAGCTTAAAATTACTAATTATCTATTCTGCAGTTAACATGTCATTATTGCATAGATACAGAGATTCAGATGTGAGAATATCAGAGAGTAATTGCTGTTTGACAGTGTCATCAGTGTTTTCTCTTCAGGAGAAAACAAAACTTCAATTTTAGTTCAGAGATATGTGAAGCCATATCACATTGTGTTCACTTGTCTGTTTGAGTTTAAAAAGAACAAAACCCTGAGAAAGCTGAGCATCACTTCTTGTTTAGTTGGAAACACAGATTGCTTTATGTGGAAATAACTTTTGTCCCAAACTAGACAAAGTAAAGCATAATTTTTATCAAACCAACAGTATTCTGTACTCTATAAAGAAGTAAATAAAGCCTAGGAATTGTGTGGTTAAGATCGTGCACATTATTCCAAAGGATGCTCCCATACTCTACTTTTTTTAGATGTAGGTCTTTAAAAGCAGACTTGAGAATCAGTCAGAAAGCAGAGTGTCAGTAAATATCATGTGCTGTATGAAAGAAGCACTAGACCATAACAAATGGTAGTGAAGTTAGCTGATTTTCTCTAAATGGTTGCTCAGGAAGTGGAATATAACCCCTTCACTGCCATTAAAACAGAATGTTCTAATGCTGGATGGATGTAGGCTACAGAACAAACAGGTGAGAACAAATTAATTTCTTCACATATGTATGGGAACTGCTGAATCACAGCCTGAACCTGTGATTGATCACCTGAGGTGAGCAATGAGTCAGCCCTGGGAGTACAGGTAAAGGCAATTCACCTGTGCTGCAGGAAGGGGTGGAGCCTGGCTGCACCTCTCCTAGACCCATTTAAGAGCTGACCACCAGTGGGGGAGGATCTCTTTCTGGAGATCCCTCTTTTGGAATTTTACAGTGAGCCCAGGACAAAGGTAAGCACTCTATCTATTCTCTTTTTGGTATAACAGCCTGCTTAGCCAAACTCTCTTGTTTATTTCATAATTATAGCATCTGTAACTCATTGATTACACAACATACAAGTTGGGAGGCTGAGTTAAATCTGGAGAATAATGAAGGCTGGGCAGAGACTGAGATTCTATTCTATATCCATAGGTATTTCTACTTTGTTCTATAGATCCTGTGATCACAGTTACTTACTGCCACCATGTTTTTAATTGATGTTCCTTGTTAGATATCCAAAGAAGAAATGGATACAAAGCATCTGGCTCCAAGGACAATGAAAACAGAGATTTTAGAGGAAAAGAAGGAGGAATTCCAAACTAGAATTTTTAATAAGGGAACACTGTCTGGTTATGAACATCAAGGACGAACTTTCTATACTAAACCAAGTTGTGTTCATTTCAAGGTTAGTGGCCATTCCACACAGGGTCTGTAAAGATGATGGATGGATGTTTCTGCTAGATTAATATACTGATGTCTTGATCAAAATGCTGTGGCACCAAAAAGATCCTTGTTGGCTGCTGTGGGTTAACACTAACAGACAGCTAAAGGCCACAGAAGCCCTGACTCGCTCTCTGCTCCCAAGTAGCAGGAGAAGAGGGGAATTTTCAGTAAAGATTCCAGCCTGCAAATAATTATAATGTTCTACTTACGTTAGGAAGAAAGTGAGCTTGTCAGCTTACCCCTGCATTGTAATTAACAAGCACACTGTCAGAAAGTATGCTGCTGTGCCAAAACTGGTTGTTCTGTCATTACTTGTGTAAATGTTACTTCCTGTAATTGACAACCCTTGATATGTTTGGTATTTCAAGGATTTTGATGTTGGTAAAATCTACAAAAAGAAGATAGTTTTGATAAATGCATCCTACAGCATTAACTACTGCAAACCAGTGGGAATCAGTGAATGGCTGAAGGACTTCATCACCATTCAGTACGTAAAACTATCTGTAGATGAGTTCCTTGCTTTACATTTATATCAAGAGACATAATTCTATAGTAAAATTAAACAATTTTCATTAGATACATCTCAACTATTACATTGCATTCTTTTATAATGAAGAAAGAAAGTGTCTTAGAGCAGAAAAGAAACTTGAAGACTTTGAGCTGCACATCATTGTTTATGTAGTGGTGACAGCAAGGGCCCAGTCTCTAGAATGTGAAAAGCAGTGAACACACACAGTGTGAGTAATTCATCAAGGTATTACTGGAAATAGGAGCTATTCCTTCAGGCCCTTCTTAGGAGAAACTGCCAGTGATCTGTTCTGAAGCTCATTTGCCTACTCACATTCTAAGTTCATATTTTCTGAAGAGTATTTCCTTTTCCATTTCAGTTTGAAAATGTTTCATCTTTGTTGATTTTTAATTCTGTTTTGATAAGATTATGATTAGTGCACATGTTCTGTGTTTCAGTGGGGCCCAGCTTACTAGGTATCCCCCTGGCTAATAACATTCAGTCATGTATTTTGTCTAGCCTGTTTTTGTCAGGCAGAATAGGGCTCTAGTTGTGCCTCAGTAATTTCATTTGGAGTGCAGCCGTGAGACTTCTTGTCTTCCGATGGGCATTTTGTTTGCATCACAGACACCATAAAATGAGGCACTGAAGTGACTGGCAGTTTCTATTCAAGATGATTTTGATATAGCTTGCAGCATGCAGCACGTTCTCTAATCGCTTGCAGCAACTTCTTTTCCTCTTCATTTCTATTTGGATAGTGGGATGTTACAGATCTGTGGTTGAAATTGATAATGGTAGACTGCTCCCAAAGGGTTAGAACAGGTGATTGGTCCACTTCATTCTTAACAATGTTATTGAGCCACAGCTCCACCAGTTGCCTTGTTTGTAAAGTGAACACTAATTCTTTCCTCTTTAAAGTATTGCAAGACTTTCTGAATAAAACCTCAACAAATCAATCTTTGTTGTTTTACAGTTGCTCCAGGCTTCTGTGGCTTTTCCTTAATCTGTCCCTCATTCTGACTTCCTAGATGAATAAATTAATCCAAATGGAAAAATATATAAATATTCTTTGCTGTTCCTACCAGAGTCAGGACAGGGGGTTTCACACATTCACACGTGTCTTAAATTGGGAGTTTTGTGCTGCTTCTCTACACAGGTTTGACCCACCTGGTAAAATGTCTGCTGGAATGTCCTGTGAAGTGGGGGTAACCTTTAAGCCTGTGGTAAGTGCACCTCAGTGGTAACTTTGTCAAATAGGCTGAATCTTTGCCAATTACATGGCTGGGGGATTGTTTTTCATTTTTAGATAAATGAAAATCTGGAAGGAGAAGTCATGTTTATGGCACAAACAGGATCCTTCTCAGTGCCACTGAAATGTACAGCCAAGACATGCACTGTAAGTGACTGTTTAAAGTCAGAGTAACAGCAGAAAATGCAAGACAGCATAAATGTTATTGCAAATATTTACCAAGAGGTAGACAGCAGAGTGCCCACAGCTGGCAATTAATTGGACACTGTCTTTGAAATGAGAACTTAAAAGTCCTATTCTTGAAAAAGTGAATGCTCATTTGATGGACATCACTGACTGTCTAGGACAGTGGTAATTATTGGTTTCTCTTCTCACAGCTGGCACTAGATAAAGTGCTTGTTGACTTTGGCACTCATGTAGTGGGAGAGAGAATTTCACGAGCTGTCATCCTGACCAACACTGGAGCTTTGGGAACAAGATTCAAGGTTCAGACATCAGCAGGTGACAGCAGTAGATGTGGAGCAACAGCAGAATCTTCTACTACCAGAACAGTAGGTTCAACAGCATCACCCTAAATTAATCCATCCCATTTATAACATGAAACAGTTACAAGAAAACACATCTCATTTGCAGCTCCTTGATGAAGTTGGAGTTGGATACAAGGTCAGTAATCAGTCACAGTAGAAATCATTTTTTCCTGAATATTTTTAATAGGTTACTCAACCATGCAGTGACTTTGCTCCTGAGAAGAAAGACAGCGATAGTTCTGTAACATCTGCACTTGAAAAGAAAGAACAAATCTGTCCTGATGGTAGTGAAGAACCAACCTGCTGTGTAGCCCAGGTGGAGCAGCAGAGGACTGAGACAAGTTCTACAGGTGAGCTGATTCTGAAAAACTGCTAGAGCAAGCTTCCCAGACTTAACCAAATTAAGCAGTTCATCATGCTAGTAGCAACGTTACATCTCTTCGTACGCTGCCTCAACTCTAAATCTCCACAGCTAAAAAAAAAAAGACTAAAAATAATGTACTGGCACCATTATATCAAAATCAACAGAGAATCTTGATCCTCATTAGTGATCAACAATTCAGCTTCAGAAGAATATAGAAACCAACTAGCTTACAGAGACTGCAAAAATATTATCATTTTTGTCTCAGCAACCAAATTCCCACCCCTCAGAAGAGAAATCCACATGACAGGTTTATTTTTATAGTCTTTAATTCTAGTAACAAGAAAACAGAAAGATGAACCTCATAAAGCTTCCTAATGTTTACTGTGTACTTAAAAAGTTCCAACACTGTAGAAGAAAGTCATCTTCAAAATACGTGTTGAATATTCTTGTGTATATTGATCATTGACCAAATGTCCCTGGACAAGGTGGTGGGTTCTTTTTCTTTCCTGGAATCTCTGGAGTGAAAGTGATTAATGTAATCACTGTACCTGTCTCCACAGAATTACTTATCTCTAAATCTGTTTACAGACCAGAGAGGTTGTGGAGTTACCTTCTCTGGAGATACTGAAAACCTGCATGCTCACAGTGCTGTGCGATGTGACCTTGCTTGAGCAGGGAGATTTAGATCAGGTCATCTCCAGAGGTCTCTTCCAATCTCAACCATTTTCAGGTTTTTGTTGCTTCCTGCTCTGTTTGATGCATACATCCAGCATTTTGTGGACCTGTCAGTGTTGGTTTTTTCTTTCAGAACAACTTGCTCAGGATGTATTCAGTTTCAGTTCAGATAAAGACACAGGCAATGCACATCATTTAACGGAACACTCACCTGAAGAAACACCAATGGAAATTATGCTGGGAAAGGTAACTAATGCCCTGAAATACATACAAGATTTTCAGTAGTCTAAGCCTCCTATATCAAGTGAATTGCTTTCATTCTACTGGTAAGTGTTGAAGGACATAATCAGTTTCAACCCTAGTGGAATCCACTGTTTTACAGTTAATCAAAGAATCATAGAATGTCTTGGACTGGAGAGGATCTCAAAGATCATTGCTGTGGGCAGGGCTGCCAATCACTACATCAGCCTGAAGTCGGGCTGCCCAGGTCCCATCCACCTGGCCTTAAAACCTCCAGGGATGGGGCATCACACGTTCTGTGGGCAGCCTGTTCCAGCACCTCACCACCCTTTCAGTGAAAAATGTCTCTAGCATCTAATCTAAATCTCCCCTCTTTTAGTTTACATCCTTAAAATGAAATAATATATTTGCCTCTTCTTTCAGTCCATAAAGGGTCTGTGAGCTGGACGACTTGCATTTCTCACAACTTTTCTTTTTGTCAGATTGATTATTCTCCTGTCATTTCTTTGTTATACAACATCTAGTGACAACACAAAAGGCGGGGCAGGAAGAATGTGCCACATTATTTAATGCAGAGATAAGAGTTCAGAAAGTAGTTCTTAGTATTTATGGCTTCTACCTATCTGTGAAAGAGCACTGAATTCAGTGGTGTAGATCTTTGAATAGTAGCACAAAGCAGCTTCTTCGTGTATTTGTTACACCACTGTAATGGAGACTCTTTGGTAAAATACATAATCCACCTGTCATAAAAGTCTTGCAGTAAAAAGGAACTCTCTCAATAAGATTCTGACCATGTCTGCCTGTGAAACCACATCATCCCAAGCTTTTTCCCCCCAAACAAACCTTGTAAAGACCACTGATCCATTTTTCCCTGTCATAGTTCAGTCTAGTGAGAAACTAGGCATAGTGGTGTGCTTGTATACTGTGAGCACATACAGCTTCACTTCCATACGTTTTTATAGCCAACCACACGAAGAGAGGTTCTCATTAAAAATGTGTTACTTCCTGTTTAGGTTACTGAAGGTGAAATTGGACCCTTCAGCTCAGTCAAACTTCAGATTATATTTATGCCATCCATCCCTGGGGACGTACGGGCGGAGTTTGTGATCATGTTTGACAACTCAGACTGCAAACCAGTGAGTGATTTTTGTGTAAGACTTACTTCAAAGACTGTTGAAACTCTCTTTTTACCAAGAATTACAAGAGCACAGAACCTGTACTAAAAACAGGAAAAATGGGCAGAGGACAAATAGGTTTATAGATATGAGAAATAACAATGAGGTAATAAACAGTAAGAAACCTTATAAATCATGGCCCTTCTTTCTGTTGGACTATAGTTGTTAAACCTGTAGATTCTCTGATATTTCTACACAGCTGTTTATCAGACACTCTACTAGAAAACATCTATTGTCCTGTATATAAATCTGAAATTCTTCTCTTCTGTTCCCAACCCATGCAGTTTATTTTCTTTTTGATATATCAGCACTGGAATTATTTAGCACGAAGTAGTGAAACTGATGTGTGAAGGCTGGGACAGATGACAACTTTAGTTACCATTTCAGCATATTTTAATTCTGCATTTCATTGGAAGCCAAATTCTGCCTGGGAACACTTCACAGAAGCTTGCCAAAAATAAAAAATTAAGAAAAAGAAAAAGAAAAAAAGAAAAAGAAAAAGGAAGAAAATCTTCCCAAGAAGCTCAGTAGGCCAGTCTTGGCTCTACCCGCAGTCTACAGATGGAATAGTCTACAAAAGAAACTGCAGATGCATACTGCACATTCCTGTGGGTACCCTTTCTTTCAGCTCTGGCAGGAAAGGATCATTTTTGTCCAAGTTTGAGCTATATAGCTGCTGAAATTTAGACTTGAGGTTATTATGTGGAATACAGCACCATACTGCCCTTCTGTATAAACAGGCTGCAGTCTCCTGACTTTCTGAATTCTTGCACATTCACTTAACTCTTCAAATATTTCTTTCCAATTTCTTGGGCAACATGCTATTTCTTCACATTCTATGGAAAGGAGTCGAAACTGAAATATAATTCATTTCTTCTCTGGTACACAGTAAGATCTAGGTTTTATTTTATAAATTACTTCTATAGCTTTGTTTAATTAAGGTACCTTTAACAAGTACATATTTTTAGCTATAGCTTATAGCTGTTTAGATCAGTAACAATTTGAGACTAACAAAAATAAGCATACTCTTGGTTTGTATTAACAGCTGTACTTCACTGCCATTGGAGTCTCTGTTGACGTGCCGGTTTGGGTGCCCAATCCCAACATTGATTTGAAGATCTGTATGTATGACCGACTTTACCAGGACTGCATTGTCATCCGGAGCAGGTGAGCTGCCTTCCACAGCTGACTGATGAGATCTTATGTCACTAGGTGATACCTCAGGGGTCTGTTGTACCAGAGGCATCTGGTTATCACAGCAGGCTGAAGAACAGTTTTGCACTTTTTATTTTTCCTTGGTATTCCAGTAGTAGTATCCCGATTACAAGCCCTCTGAATTGTACACTACTGTGGAAATTAGACTTGGGTATAGTGCAATCCTAGATCCCTAAGAGCAGCAATAGCTATGGAAGTGTATGAGTTAATACACACTCTTCCATTCCTACAAAGTTCCTTGTGCTGTGCCTGTTCTGTGATAGAGCTGTTAAGTCCCTGGGGAATAGCAGCCCCAGTGAGTTTCATTATATGGAACTGCAAGCTAAACATCAGGGAGATAAATGTGCCTAAAACTGAGTGCAGGTTGGGTATAATTGATTCAGCCAAAGAACTTTCTGAAAAATGATCTGCAAGCCAGCTTCATGCCAACTGTTCCTTTCTGAGAAGGTCAGTCACCAGCCTTAGTAGACACATGCAGTGATGCTGGATAAATCAAGTCAGTCCTTTTGCATCTCCTGTAACATAGGAAACCTTTCCTGAGCCATACAGGATTTAAGAACTGTACTGGAGAGGCAGATACTTTAAAGTATACAGATAGTGATAAATCATGAATTATGCTGATTACCCAGATATTTTTTTGTACGTATGTATTTCCATAGTTTGCATCAATAATGTCTGAAGATTCCTTCTGTTTGCACTGTAACAGAAGGACAATATTTCAGCTCATTGGCTCCCAGACATTTCTTGCTGTAACATTCTATTATATGAACTCTTACTCTACTAATTGTCTTCAGGTCTACCTTGGATATCTTTACCTAATGCAAACATTATGAAACACTTAGCATTCCTATTTCACCAATCTGCATATCTTAGATTCTATTTAAACAAGATTGGGGTGGTTTTGTGGGAGGGTGGGGGAGACTGGTTCTGTAGAAGGCATCCATTCTAAACCTCTTACCAGAACTACAGACTGCACAGATTCTTCACAGTTGGAAAGAAATGAGTAAAGCTGTTATCTCAAAAATTCAGCCTACAGATATGAGAAGCACAAGTTATGTAAGGGGTTTTACTCGGTGAAGATAACCCAGGGATAAAAAGTTACAATCATAGAAGAAAAAGAACTATCCTAATGAAAACTTAAGATTTCAAAGGGGTCCCAAATATAGAGGCTGTCAAATTGCTTAGGCCAAAATTTCTTAACTGAGAACTGTATCGACTTCCCCTAAATTATAAGCACTTCATACGTTTTATGCTGTCCTTAGCACCTTGGCAAATCAAATCTTCAATTTATCCCCCCCACCTCCTTTGTTAGGAAAAATTGTCTTTGTTATACAGTCATCAGTGCTGAAATTTCAAGTATCACACCTGCAAGAATGTTCTGTCTCAATATCTGCTAAAGGAAATAAATGGAATCATTCAGTTAGAGGCAATGCCTGGCAGATCTCTTCCTCCACTAGCCGTTACAGTTTTTCTGTTGCTTGTATCAGAAAGTTTTCAAGTTAGGTAAATAGCTCTGGTACTTGAGCTCTCCCCGCCAGCTCTGTAGAATTACTAAATGTTAACTTTTTTTCTTTCTGTTCACATAGAATACAGTGACTGGGAAGTGTAAATGTGCAGCATAAAAGGTGAAAACATTTCACCAGAATCCTCTCAGATATAAATCGCTTTGAAAAGTAATTTCTTTGGCAAGTTATAATCTGCACTGATTTAAAGAACTACTATGTAGTTCTCTTAGATTGTCAACAGTCAGCAATCCTTCCAAGCTCCCAGCACCTCATGCTGCAATTGTTGATTTAGAGCAGGCCATCTGGACTGACAGCTTGTAAACCAGTCCAAGAGAAGGAAAAAGACGAGAGAAATGTTTGTAAATTGATTGGCAATTCTACACACAGGCATAAAATTTCAAAGCAGGGTATGGTTTGTGGCTATCACCCTATTGTAGTGTGGCCAGAATTCAGAAAACAGGAAGATGCTCACATGGTATTTAGATATTCTTGGCCCTACACAGCAGTTGCTGGTCTTCGTTTTTCTGCTTCTCAGACAGAATAAGGCAGAGTAAGAGTTTTTCATTGCTACATTCTGCCTGCTGCCAGTCGTTACTTAACAGAGATCCTGCCTTCTCCTTGAGCAGGCTCTGTGCTGCAGTCAGCACCAGTCAGATGCCTCAAACACTGCACGAGTCATTTCTATTGGTTCAGATAGAGAGGATGTATTTTAGCAGCAAATAATTAGCTGGTATTTCACAATAATTTGGCTTTGACTTTCCACTGACCTGACTTATCACTGCGCTGCACTTTGATAATTATGTTCCAATCAGCTGTGTACATTTGCCTGAAATACAGCTGGGTTTACTTACAGTAATTCCAAAATCTTGTTTTCTATACTTAACTTAAAAGAATGTGAGCGTGTGATTTTGCTGTAGCAGTTTCACTTGCCCTTCATTTTCAAAGGAAGCTTGCAATAGTTATAATTGTAATGTAGAGCAGAGATGCAAGAAGGGGAGGGAGGAACAAACTGCAAGAGCAAATGCTGCCAAGATGGCAGTACCAGTAGCCCTTGATGCCACTTGAGCTCATCTGATCTGTTTGCAGAGCGAAAACTATGCTGCATTTGAAGTTTGAAGTATGCAAAGAATTGAGCAAACACATGAAGCTGCTCCCAAAAACAGGTTGCATTCAACCTCGGTCATCCTTCAGTGTGCAGTTGAAGTTTCTGCCCAGGTAACTCAACAGCATTAATATTTTTGCCATTTAAATAATGTCAGTAGGAGGCTGTCACTGCAAAATCTGAGCAAATCAAGTAGTTTTTCCTTCCTTCCCCTGATGTCTGTAGCAGGCTGGACTTCACGCTTCTGGTGTCAATTCACACTGCTGGTGTCAGCTCAGTCTTAGTTTCCCTTCTCCCCCTTTAAAAGATGCCAGATGCACAAAGAGGAAATTAACTTGGATCGCATACCTATGAGGAAATGCTTTTCCTGTAGTGACAGCAGCCGTGTCAGAATCCTAGCAGTTGTACTCCTGGTAAACTGCTTCCATTTCTGTGGGGAAGCTATTCTTACACAAAAGAGAAGTTCTCTAGGCAGGTGGCTACTTCACGGATCAGTGATTAAATCATTTCTGGACAAGCACTCCTGTCTTGGTAGGTAAGGTAGGAATGGTTGGACTTCCTGTACATATCTTACCCACGTACATTTTCCCTAAAATGTGAACACAATGATTTTGAATTTCATGCAGGAATTCATATAACGTCTTCAGAGATGCCTTATCCCAGCAAGTTTTGTCTTTTCTACTTCACAATATGTCTGTGTGTACAAACATAATTCAGTCATAGAAACAAAGAATGCCATTTTTTTCATAGAATTATATATTTGGATTTTCACTGATGTGCTCAGCATCAGACCCAATTTCAAAATGAGAGACCAAGCATTGGCATCAGAGTCCTCAGCAGGTTAGTTAGTATTCAAGGAACTAGAAGTATTTACACTTTTTCCAACATATCAAATCCTATCAGGTTGCTGTAACAATAACCACTATCATGACATTCTTCCATTCCTAAACTTCAGTTGCTGCAAAGCACTGTTATACTTTCTGAGTAGATAGAAGCATAGCCTGGATTTAGAAAATTAATCTGCCTTTTGAAAAATGAGGAAGCTTCAGAAAGGAGATTTGAAGAGATTAAGGCTTTTCTGACACACAAAATAAGTATCTGGCTGTTTCAGTATATAGATCATTTTAAAAGGCCTAACACACTGGTGAGTGTGTATGACAGAAGATGAGCTTGCTCCAAGCTGATGTAAAGTACTGAGCTAGTGACACATTTCTGTAAATGCTGCTCATAGACTTAAGCTCAGTTTCCTCAGGAGAAAAAAGAGCTCTATTAAAAGCAACACAAGTAAAAAGAAACACTCATTCAGTGAGACTAAGTGAGCAGATAAGATGACTGAAGGCTTGGGAAGCTCCCCTAAGTATTCCATGCATGCTGAAATGCACGGTCAGATGTTACAGTGCTCACATAACTATCTGGGTGCTAGAAGCAAAGACCTGTTTTCTGCTCATTTGAAGGCAAATTCTCTAATCTGCTGACTTTCAGCATTCCCAAATACTGCATCTTCTCCTTTTTTTTTTTTTTTTTGTATTTGGAAGTAGTCCTGCAGATGCTGGCAGTCTAAATCTGATTGGTCTCTCCTGCTTTTCCTTAATGGCTTTAAAGCACAAAGATGCTGTTTTCAGAAAACGGTCCAAAGGATTTCAGTGTCTCTTCCCCAGGCACAACAGCTACTTTAGAACCCATTGCTGTGTACGTACAGTAACAATTATTATGCTTTCCCCCAGGATCATTTTGTAGCACGTGAATTTCTTCTGCTATTCTAATGTCCTGTGATAAAGTGGAAGCTGATACTTTATTCCTACTTTATTTTTATCTCTGTGTTCTATTTTTGAACAAGTTAGCAATCACATCTCAGGCTTGCAAAATAAAAGCCAGCAACATCTCAGATCAGTATGATGATCGTGAGTGGGTGCTATTTATTTTTTAACTATCCTTTAATAATACATTAAAAAATTGCAAGCAATTCCAATAGTAGTAGTAGGAATATTATCGCTGTGAAGTCCTAAAAACAGGAAGCAACTCACTGGTGCTGTAAGACACCATAAATAGACCAGCAGAGCTAAAAATGTTAGCTTTTGTATTGTCTTGGCTTGAAGCTCTGAAATTAAGCTTATGATAGCAAGATGCTGCAGCAACAGAGCGCAAGCCTATTACTTGTAAATGACTAATCTGGTACATAATCAGACACTATTGGTCTCCAAGTGTGTTTCACTTTATTTATGTCTTGGTGCTGTGTGATCCAACTGGTACTGCCTCAATTTACTGGTAATTAATTAACACGGGTGTCAAAAGGAAACGACTGCCCAGGACAGGTTGGTTATGTGCTCTGGCTGCAGCAAAGATGCTGAAGCCTGATGTTGTGTTTAGAAGGTAAACTTCAGATTGTTCAGAGTTTTAAATGGCTGTGTTTATAAGAAAGCATAAATGGCTGCAATTTTCTGTAAATAGCTCCCTTAAACTCCCGTGTGCCCCAAATCCCATCTTTAAATAAATAAAAAGAATCTGTCATTAATAAACATGGTCACTGATTCTAACCTCATTGCTGGATATCCCTGCAATCCATGCACACCTGCTCAGAGCAGACTGCCTGGATGTGTGCCATCCTATAGGAAATCTGTGACAAGCCTACAACATTTCTCATTTGTGAAATTTTATCTTTTTGGATTAAAGGTAGAATTTCATAGGTCACTGTAATTTCTGGATAGTATTTTCTTCTACCACCATTCTCCTTGATACTTGTATATACAAGGCTTACAATATTTTAGATAGAGCTAACTTTGTGGAAGCAGTAGAGCTGGTGTTTAACCAGGTCTGTATGTGAATACTCTGAAACATAAATGCGATGTCAGAAATAAAAGCTGTAAAGAATGAACTTTTAGACCTTAAGTGACAGCTATGTTTTTTCCTTTGGTTCAGAAACACGGCCATCAAAAGTTTATTAATCCCCTTAGCTAGAAAATGGTCACAATATTTTTATGGAGCTGAATGTAACTTTTTAAATTTCAGGCGCTCCCTCCCCGAAGACGCAGGCAGCTGTTTTAACGAAGAGACAAGTGTTCTGGAAGCTCCAGTGATGGTACAGATTGCAGATAATGTTAGTTGCTGTGGGCTTCTTTTTGTCCTGTAGATCTATTATTTCAGCTTATGTTCACTTAGTGATACCTAACTGTAGCAGCAATGCTGAGTCATGGTTGGCAGTGATGGAGCACCTGGTGGGAAGGCAGAGCCAGCCTGGGGAGCACAGGTGCATGCAATGTACCTGAGTGATTAAAAGAGCTGGAGCAAGGATCCACCCCTTCCCAGCCCTCATGTAAGGGTTGGCAGTGGAGGCAAGGGGATCTTGCTGGAGGTAGGTCCCTGCATGCTTGAGGTCTTCTGAAGGTAAGCAGCTTCTTTTCCTTTGTTTCTGTGCCCATGGCTGTTGCAATTGAGCAAGTCCTCATTTGTTGCAGCATGAGATTTTGCTGCACTGCTGTCATTGCTGTGCTTTCCATCACATTGCTGTGTTACATCTAACCTTGCTTTACTATTGAAGTCCTATGACGACAGCAAAAGCCATTCATGGTGATGATATAGATTTCATGATGGTTTTTTCTTGTCAGCATGTTTACAATACAGACAATTGAATCCTCTGTAATTAGTGTTCACTTATTACCTTCCAGTTTCTTTTGTAACAGAGCTCCCACGTTCCACACCACAATTTCTTCATTCTTCTTTCTACTGTTGTAGCGTATTCTTAGAATTCACATTTTCTGGAGCTGCAGATGTGATTCCGTTCTAACATACAGAATTTCAGATGACTAAAAGGGTGTTTTTTTGGCAATTTTGCTTCCTAAAGAGCTATTTATTATTGCTTATTTTTGAAGAACAATGAGGCTGAAGTTCAGGATAAATATGTTACGTTTACATTTGTGGCTCTCAAAGAATATAATAAAGCAGTTATTTTGTGGTTATCTTTGCTGATGACGTTTCACTTAAATTCTTTCCACACGATGCTGTGGATAGAGGTTTATATGCTTTGCTTTTGGATTTGTTTCAGACTAAACAAATTAATTTTACTGTCCATGCAATTGTTACTACTTCTGACTTGGAAATCAGTCCAGCAGAAATCAATTTTGGATACTGCACCATCTATGAAGCTGTGAGGACAAATGTCACGCTAACAAACAAGTCCATCTTGCCACAGGAGTTTGGATTTGTGAGACTCCCAGAGGTAGGTGGTTATCCTGAACACCTCTCCTTGTATTGTAATATATTTAATTATTCAGAAATCGTATTTCAATGCAAGAATGAATAAATCAGAACTGGTTCCTGGAAACCAGTGGAAATATTGCTCTCAGCAGTGCTGGGGAAACACACAGCTAAGTTTTGTTACTAACTTATTGAAACGATACCATAAACGTTTTCCAAGCAGTATGAACTTCTTTGAGTCTGACCTATGTGACATGAATAATTGTATTCTATTAGCACATCCTTTTCCTTCAACAAGAATTTTACTAAGAAAATATCTGGTGCATTTTTTGCACATCACATCTAAATATCTTAACTCTTTATCCTCAAAGCAGGAAAACTGTGTCCAAGCTGCTTATTAGGAATTGTACTTAAGTGTTTTCTGACTCTCTGTAAGTTGATGAGGAGGCTAAATTAACCACAAGAGCCACCAGTTTTCTGAGGGCTGGGACTACTGGATGATTTTTTTTTCCATTTTTGAGTAAATAAAAGCTGTTTAAGCTTCAGAATAGTATGATGACCACAATAGGGAACAGCTTAGCATGTTGAGATTGGAATTAGGAGTGTGACATTTTATTAAGTGTTGTCCCTTTCTCTGCTGTTGTAGCAATCAAAATCAAGTAGTTAGAATATTTAAAAGGCTTTTTTTAAAATACAGTTTTAAATCTGTACTTTTCAGGATGTGTTTCATGATTAAACTGTGATGGGAAGACATTCCTGAATCGTTACTAACTCATAAACACAGAACAATACAAATATGTAGATACTGAAGTGGTGTCCTTGTCATCGTGGTACTGCACAACGCAGAAGTTTCCCCTCTTCAAGTGCAGAGGGAAGCAGTTGAGATTTTTATCATACTTCATTCAGTTGTCCATGAAAAGAATAAATAAGCATCATTATAGAAAAGTGATTACTGTGGATGGTAACAAGCTAAGGGAAGAGATTCCACTGAAATAAGAGTTGCAGGATTTGAATTTCTGCTTTTCAAGCTACCATAAGAGTAATAAAGTACATGTCAGTCAGATACTAGGCACTGTAACTCAAATGAAAGCTTCTTGATTTGGTTTCCTGACATTTGTGGGTTTAATAACAGTATCTGTATCTAACTTTCTGAATTTATTAGTACAGTAATTTAATTAAATCAGTAATATAGCTTTATTTGATAACTTATTATCCTAACAATTATTTCTTATCTTGCTACTTTGAAGTTTGTTGAAATTCAGCCTAACGATGGACTTGGAGTTCTTCTTCCTCTTGAAAGTCTGACGTTGCACATAATCTTTAAAGCCAACAAGGCAGAAGAGTACAGCTTTGAACTGACCTGCAAGTCAGAGGTTAATAGGTATGTAAGAAACTGCTTGAGCAATATGTAGTTCAGAAATCAGAATCGCACTTAATTTCTACCATTCACATAAGCCTGTCCAGTAACAAAATCCCTCTCACTATAAAGAGGTGAGGCTAGGATAGAGCTGTGAGGCAGGTAAGGATTCAGTTGACAAGAGTTGTTCATTGCCATCAGTTTCATCCTTAGTTTACATGTCTCATTTGCAAACTGCTAGCTTGCCTCAGGTCTTAGCCTGCAATATTTTGTTAGCTTTTTCAGTAGAATTACTGAAGTTTTTCTTAATTATTAGGGCTTTTTTTTGTCAAAAATGCTTTATGCATTAAGCTACACCACTAAAATAATGATGACAAAAAATTTGATGATTAGACTGGATGTATTTCTTCATAGAGGAAGAATTCAAGTATGCTTCATTAAAAACAGTATTATTTTCCATCTTTATGCAAAATTTCCATTGTAAGCTTGAGAAATTCTTCTTAAATAAGGACTACAAGATCAGTTTCCTATTTTGGGGGCTGATGAAGAGACTATTTTATGCTGAAACAATTTATCATGTGTTTATTTTTAGACAATTCAAGTTGTCATGCAGAGCAGTTGGAGTCCACCCACCTCTTGAATTGTCTCATTCCTTAGTTCAGTTTGCTGCAACAGCTCTAAATGATGTGTCTACAGCAACACTGTATGTGATGAATTCCCATGTGAGTGCCAACCTCTTTAGTCATGCAGTCCCAAGAATTGGCAATGGGGAAGTTGCCCCTGTTGGGCCCACTTCATTTGAATTTTACGTGCCAGAAGACTGTCCTGTGGCAATCAAGCCTTCTGTTGGAACTGTGTTGCCTGGGAAGGTACATTCATTTTAAATGTCAAGTGTTCAAACACATCTTTTGATCATCTACATCCCCGCGAGTTCTGTCACTTGCAAATGATGTTGAAAACAAATTATTAGCATAGTTGGAAGACTTCACCTGAAATAGTTTTAAATTGGACTTAAGCAGTTAACCATCAACTCTAGTTTATGGGAGCTGTCCCCAAGTATTCTTTCCCCAGTGCTATCACTATAACTTTCAGGAAAGCTTAGATATCAAAAGTAATGACTATGTAATACCAGCCCACTGTGATGCACTGGACTTCAGAAAAGCTGAAAGTGACCTTATTAAGTTTGTCTCATTAGCAGAGAAAAAATGTTTTGCTGTCAGATATATGCTTCGATCAAGCTTTGTAGGTATTACACATGTATGAGGGATGAATTCTGCCTATCATTCTTGTGTATGTTCCCTCTTTCCCAGAAAAGCTTGATTCAAGTGTCCTTCAGACCAACATTGTCAGATCAGCTAATCAGAGAAGAGGCAGCTCAGAGGCTTTGTGAAGCAGCTGCAACAGGGGCAGAAATACAAGTAAGGAATGCTAAGAAGTAGCACGTGCTGTTGGTCTATTACTTCCAGATATTTGTTTCTCTAGATGGTATTTTTATCACAAAATTATTTCCTCGTTGAAGTCCAAACTCCTGATTGATGTCAGACCTGTCTGTACAGGAGGGTGCTGCTGCACTTATTGCTCAGTGAACAGACTGCACATCAATTTTACTTCACTATGACATCTTCATTCTTACAGGATTTTATTAAATCTAAAATAAAACAGATTTCTACTTCCTAAATATTGACAGCATACGTGGTCTTTGTATGTAGCTGACCCACAGGTCAGTTAACTTATGTCAGCACCTATGGTTTGCTTTAATTATGAGGTAAATAGCTAAAATTGCCCATTTTACCTGAATGTCATTCGAACTGTTTGTAATAACTGCTGCATCTGTGACCTGTTACCCTCATTCTACTTCTGTTACCTTGCTTCATACCCTGCAGGGCCCTGCCTCTGAGGAGATCCTTGGGCCAGGGACTGGATATTTGTAAATTAATGTCTTGATTGCATGATCTGTGATTGGCATTAGCGTGCAGGTTTGCTGTGTATTTGCAGAAAAGGAAGAATAGTGAGAAGAGAGAGGGAAAGAAATTAAGTGTTTCCATTTCCAGACGGCAGTCTTCCAGACAGGTTGTAAGGACTGGAAGTGCTAAACACCTGAGTTCTTCATGTAAATCTGAGCAACCAGAATCCAAAGAGATAAAGCCTGAGTAAGTCAGCAAAAGCATCTTCTCTTAATTAAACAAAGTCTTTTTATAATTCTTTATAAATCTACTAACCCTACATGTGGGGAAAAAGCCAAACTGTAGTGAAGAAATAACTTCAGTTCTATTGCAAATGCTGTTTCCAAAATTAGCACTGCTTTTACGCCACGCAGCTGTAACCTCTCATGTAAGGCAAAGAATCCTTTTATGTGCATCAGAGAAATTGAAGACTTCAAAGAATCTATCAGAAAGTGTGGCTGCGTTGGTAGATTTGGCTGAGGATACAAGTGTATCATTTTAAGGGGCAACTCCACAGCTGAACTTTGCCAGAAATTAGTAAACAGTACATCTTTTCTAAACAGGTCTAACAGAGCTGTACAAATTCAACCCAGATGGAAACTATCCATTCTGGTGTACTGAGAGTGATTTAGTGTCACTGCTATGCTGTATTTTGAACGTCTAACAAAGAAAATACAAACACAAATTGTTCAGTAGATATCTTCTGATTTTTTTTTTTTTTCTCTTCTTTTCTCTCTGACTTACTAAGATTATTGTTATTCCTGGATTTTTTAGCTCAGAAGCTTATATAGCAGCGCAGGCATTCCTGACACGGAATTTCAGAGGAAGGTTTGAAAAATACACCATACCATGCTTTGTTGCAAGTGGAGATATTGATGAAAAACGAGGCTTGGAAAGTCTAAGCTTCAGGTATTCCACACATGCGCGACTTGAAGTGAGATCTTTGCAATTCTTCATATGTTAGAAGGTTTGCAGGGAAGTGGTAGGCAGGTTAATTTATTCCTTTAGTTTATTTTCAGAATTGCTTCATAGGTCAGTGGTTGAAATGCATGCTCACAGCCCACTAGTTGGGTTAGAATCTAACATGCAGGTAGGAAAGCAGCTTAGAGAACAACTGTATGAAAAATGTAATAGCTTGATGTCCTCCATCTTTCTGTGGAGGCAATACACACACAAAAAATCAGCCACTAAAAATTGTTTACTTTTGAAATACCTTAATGATACTGTTGTGTGAACAGAATAGGAACAGATTTCTGATATTTGTTTTCTTGTCTACATAATTTTAGAGCAAATATCCTTTTACTGTCTCCCCAGCCCTTATAACACCTTGTATTTGGAGCTGCATTGTCCAGCTGTAGCACCATCTGTTGTGGTCACTTCAGATAATGGAAAAAACACGGTCGATTTTGGTAATGTGGCAGTAGGTATGAAATTTGAATTCAAACACTGAGTTTTTTCTGTCTTTAATTTCTTCTGAACGTAGTTTTGCATTTTCTTTTTACATTTAGTGGATTTTTTGAATGTCAGTATAGAAATCAGCCCTGTGAAAGGTATTCAGGTGGAAAATTAGGAGCCTATCTGGACCTCTGAGGCATGTAAAAAGCTAACTTGATACTGAAATGTGGAATCAGGAGCTGGGCAATAGGCTGTCCAAATTTGAAAGCTTTTAATGGGCTCTATTTGTTAGCCATGGAAGTGGAATGAATGTTTGACATGGGTAGAAACATGATTTAAAAGAATTGATTGTGTTGGGAATAAGCTTCATCATGGTTTTAAATTTCATTTTCATTCACAACAGGCCAAACAATACTGAAGCAAACTACATTACAAAATATCTCCCCAGAAAAGCTGGAAGTATCCTTTTTTGGAGTTAATCTGTCATTCAGTTGCTGTTCATTTTGAGCCTTATCTGTAGGAGCATTTCAACATTCAATTAAGGAGGAGATTCCTCCAGTCTCACTCTGAAATCTGGTGACATAAGAAGCACATTACCAAGAATATTTAACAATATATCCTTCTTTCCTCTTTATTATTGATCTCTCACATTTGTTTGGAGATGGTTTACACTTTGTTTTTGCCAGAACAATACTTATAGTCTGCTCTTATCTCTTTTCCCAGTGTTTGTTCATAAACTTTTTTCCTTGAGTTGCACTTTTTTAGCTACGATTCTCAGTTCTGAATCCCAGTGGTCCCTTCCTGTTGGTCAGACCAGTTAGGATGCTTGAGCCAGGTGAAATCAGAACCCTCGTCATCTCTTTTTCTCCAAATGAAGACAAATTGGTGAGTAAGGAGATGTGATGGGAACAATAAATTGGGCAAAACAGGGAGGTACAAGGGGCCACATTACATACATGTACTGCTGACTGGGTGTGTCTGTATAATAAGAAAACTCTGGCTCTGCACAGCCCCTTTCAACATCTGAATCTTTGTGCACTAAATTCAGAAGTTCTGTAACAGCCCATAGGGGCTGGGGGTGCAAGGGCAGAAGGGTTGGGGTGGCTGGAGGGGAGGCTGACCTGGAACCCAGGCTGGAGGGGAGGCTGATACAGACATTTCCTTGGCAGTTCTTTGAAATGCTGCACATCCAGACTGTAAAAAACAACTTGCCTCTACGGATCACTGGTTATGGGGTGATGCCATCGATCATTTGCTCTGTGGAAGAAGTACTTGACATGGGCTATGTCCTAACCAGAGAGAAGGCAACGTCCACGTTCAAGGTAAAGCCCTTGGTACTGAACCAAGGAAGCGTATCAACAGTTTTTATAGATAGGAGGAAGAGTTCTATAGTTCCCAGACTGGTGGAACATAAGCTATAGACAAAAGAACAGAGCTTTAAAGGCACATCTGGCAGAATGATTTGGGCTGAAGGTAACAAGAACTGCAGAGAGAACTGTGTTAGCTGCCTGCAGGGTTCTGCCTATGCAGTATGTATATAGGGATGTGATATGTACTATAGAAGAGAAAGGGCCTGTTTCAACTTCTCTATAGATCTAGCCAGTACATAGAGTGTATACAATACTGTAGTAACCCAGCAACATAAATTCAGTCAGTTTACAAAATACAGATCCTACAGGCCTGAGAATCGATTTACTTCATAAAAATGCTGTTGTGTAAATTCATGTTATCAGATACAGAACACTTCCACGCTGACCCTGCAATGCTCCATTCATCTGGAAACATTTTCATCCACAAGGGACAAAGATCAGCAGAGGGTTCCATCCTTTCTTATGTCCTCTTTGCAAGGAGCAGAGATTGTTGGTAACTTTTGCACAGTATCTAATAGCAGCAATACTTTGTCATGTTAGACTTTATACAACTCTGTCAAAACCTGGGGCCTCACATGGCTGAAATTAAAGGCACAGTTTTGTTTCCCCTACAGGAGCTGTACTAAATCTGTCAGTGTAGGTAGCTGTAAGTCTATGCAGCCTGAACAGATATCCAGAAGAAGACACCAGTGTTTGAATCTAAATAACCCCATATAGTATTTTTAAATTAGAGAGCATATTCTGGGATGTCCATCCCTGTAAGAAAGATGAGGAAGGATATGGGAAGGGTTTGATGATGCCTCTTCAGCTCCATTGGAGATTAATGCATTAAACTGATAAATGGACTATTGTAGAATTTGTAATGCTCTGTTTTGCTGCAGAGCCATTTATCAGATCTTACTTTGTATTACAACAAAAAAGAAATGGGTTTAAAATACGTGTAGAACTAAAACTGAACTGTCCTCCTTTCTTACCCATATCCTTGTTTTCATTTACCAGGAACAGAGAACTACAATGGTTTAAGTGTGTTCAGTGTCCTTCCTACAGAAGGAGAAATTCTTGCTGGGGAAAGCCAAGACTTTACTGTTACTTTCAGTCCTGAGCATGAAGGTCTGTACTATTCTGAGTGTCTCAAGGTTGTGCTCTTTGGCAAGGTAAGGCAACCAAGATTTTATCAGGATGGTTCTTAGTAGGAGTTGTAAATAATTGTATCTAGTGGGCAGGATTTGTAGGCTGAAATATTATCAGATAAACTGATATAGGCAGGAAATGGCAGGTTTGGGGCCCACTAGCTTTTTCCAGGCTTTAAATATTCAGTTTCTCATTTATGACAATTGTAACTTCAGTCCTTTGCACAGCATGGACACAAAGGGGTGATGGGAGCACACTTGCTGCCACACTGCTGAGCACTGCTCCAGCTGGGTTCTCTGCAAGTAGCAGTTAATTGTAGAAGGGAGTAGAGCTATGAAGCCAGTGCAAACTGGCAGGTGCACCGAGTACCAGGAAGCTGCTTCTGCATTCTCTCAGCATGAGGGAGGAGGCTTCCATCTGTAGAGCAGCAGTTGAGCTTAGATGGAGCCCAAATCAGGACACACAGGCTGGCAGCATGGCAGGTAGCTTTATGCTACGGTCCAAAAGAGGCTAACCAAAAGTTAATGAAGGGTGACCACTAATGACCATCAGCACGCACTGCAAACTGAGTGGAAGTATAGTGACCAAGTAAGTACTGCTTCTCTCCTTCCATGTTTTGTATTCCTAGATTATATTTTGGAATTGCAGGTAAGAAAGAAAATCAGAATAAAATGAATAAAGGCTGGTTCAAGTTTATTAACTTTAAGCCGAGTTTGGCAGCAGATAAGTTTGCTTCTTTTAGTGGCTTTAGTGTAAATAGTTATTTCAGTCCTTTCTGAGGCACAGTGCCCAAGAATGAAAGGTTTAAAACAAAAGTGCCTGAGCAGACAAGACAAGGGGAAGATACAGAATTCTTGTATTAGTGTATGGTGCCTCCTGGCACAGAAGGTAAGCAGATGATACTGTTCTTAAGCAACTGAGGCTGTTGTGTATTCCAGTTACACTGGTGCTTAAGCTGTAACCTGTATCCAACATATTCTTGTCCCATATAGAAAACTGCCCATGTGATCCAGCTTAAGGGTGCAGCAAGAGATCATCCCATGTATGTGGAAGGTGGAATTCCACTAGATGTGCCCGTTGAGTCCTTGGCTGTAACATCACCTCTGTCATCAAAAAAAACACGAAAAGAAGGTAGTGTGCTGCCACTTAGGTTATTACAAAACAGCGAGCTATAAACCATATAGTTGATGGTTATAGCTCACCTCTATGTCTTTTAAGAAAAAGTATGCTAAGCATAACCTTTCCACAGTGAGAACAAGTAAGGTTTATAGTATAGCCTATATTCGTAAACCCCCCTCCCCCCTCCAAATCTGTGTGAAACTTTCCCTTAAGGTAAGATTTTATCTGAATTCTAATGCAGTTGTATCTTAATGAAGATCATATGCCTTTGCAACTTACCTTGCAAATACTTATTGTAATTTAATACTGATAGAGAGAACTAAAATATCTATTGTAATTTAATACTGATACAGAGAACTAAGCTGTATTGATTCTTTTTTTTAAATTTTTCTGCCACTTCTCTGGCATGCATTAAATATTTACAAAATTGTTTCATGTGTTATAGCATATACTGGACTCTCCTGATTGTACTGCTATGGAATAGATGTGCTTTCACGGGTTTGAACTTATCCTCAAAGTTTACTTGATTCGTATTTCTCTAGAGCTGCAAGAACCAGTGAAGTCCATTCTCCTGCTTCTGGAGCATGTGGAGGGAGAGAATGCCCTACTGCCAGCAGTGACAGAACTGAAAGTTGGAGCTATACAGACAGCTCAGTTTGCATCTAAGAAGGTGAAGAAAATGCAATCTTATATCAGATGCTGTTAAAAATACTGGTAGAGTGTAAGTGGTTACGAGTGCCTTCTGTCAAGAATTTGTTCTCCAAATTAAAAATGATTTTTATATTTTTCTAACCAACCTTACACAAAAGCATTGGTGAAAGAAAATAAAAGATGGATTTTCAGGGGTTGATAAGAGGCATTAGCATAATCATGTTTAATTAATTACGTTTAATAATTTCCTTCTCTAATTTTGAAATACGACAGTTTGAGCACAGAACTGAATTGCAGTTCTGATCCTCATTTTAGTATTTTGTTTTATGATTTGTTGTGACAGTGAACAAGATGGCTGTTTTCAGTTTCATATGGCAGAAGTAGCTTGGCAAACAATAGAGCTCCATATAGCATCTGGGCAAATTAAGTGAATAAATGGCTATTATGTATAAAGAAATTGAGTTGACTGTGATGGAGGTATGTTGTGTTTCTTGCAGAATGTGGAGTTCAGTTTTGATAACCTGTCACACCTCCAGAAGAAGGGATTTGCTATTGAGCCTGTAAAGGGAAAAGTTGATCGTGGTCATGTAAAACGCATCAGCGTTTGTTGGGTGCCACCTGCTGACTTTGATGTAAGTAACAGTTGCACATTGCTTCTTAAACCACCAGCACTGCAGCTGTGTTTTCACTGACTTAAAGGATCAATACAAAAGCTGCTTTGACACATTAAGATACAGGAACAAAAGCCAGTAACTATATGTATGATTTGAAGGCTTTCTATCTCATCTTTGACTTCCATTCATCTGTGTGATGAGAACAAGCATTAGTCACTTGCACTTTATGGGACTTAAAATAAATTCTTACAGACCACTGCATTATACAGTGCCAAAATACTGCTCCTATTCACTAAAAGGCACTGCTTTGTTCGCATCCATGAAGTGACTTTCTTAATGCTCCTTTTTCAAGAAAACCTGCAGTCCTGCTGATACAGAACTCTGGGTACCTTTTCTTTTGGTATGTTCCTAGAAGTCAGTGGGACCTGTTTCATTTCCGATTTATGAACTGCTTAATGAACCCTGTTTCCCTGTCACCTCCTGCTTTTTTTTGTACTGCAGACTCTTAGTATGATTTCAAAACAGCCCTAAGGCTGTAACTGCCCTTCCAAGTTAATCTTCCCGGGTACTTGGGAGACTTGAAAGAATCCACTCTGCTAATTTTTGTTGTCAGCAGTGTGTGGGACGGCAGAATGAGTGGCCTAATCCAAATTTAAAAGGATGCTGTCATTGCTTGGAAAGAAGGCAGTAAAGATCCTGGCATGACATACGAGGCTGACATAGTTCCTCTTGGCAACCACTAGTTGTTACACAAGATTGAATGCTAAATCATGGCTAACGGGGTTTGCTTCTTTCCTAACCCTTGCTGCAGCATACTCTGTTGCCCAGTTGTCATGGACATAATGTGGTGACAGCATCTGTAGTGCTCTGTGGATAGAGCACTTAGTCACTGCTGCTTTGGTTAATGCAGTATGAATGTTGTGTGAAGACAGGAAACAATCAACCAAGAAGGAAGAGAGGTAACCTATGGCTATAAGGGGTGCATTTTACACCTGAGGTGAAAAATAGTTTAGAATTTGATCAACTGACCTTCTTGATCTACAAAAGAAATAGGTTGGTTTTTTTCCTGTTTTTTTTTTTTTTCTTTGTAGGCCAGTGCCCCCCTGGTTGAGACAGCCTTCCTGAACTTAAAAGGTGACATAAAGGAATCCTACCGAATTCTCTTTGTGGCAACAGTTATCTGCTCCCACTAGCTGAGGGCTCAAAGCTATGTGGAAGGTGAAGACTTGATATTTGGGAAATCGCTGGATCTCAGCTGGAACCTGGGAAGATTCTGAAACTGTTGCAAATATGTGAGGGGAGAAGGAAAGTGGAAAGGAAGGTAACATGTACTATTCCTGCTTTTCTGCCTGCAGAATTCTATATAAACTCCATATCTACTAGTTTTATTTTTAGACTGATCTGGTGCTGCTAACCTTGTAGTATAGGGAAGAATTAACAAGAGGCACCAAGTAGATACAACTATGTTAACTGCAGTGTCTTCCAAAGTCAGGAATTCCCTCAAAAGGAGTATCTTTTTACCTCTAAATGAGGGAGTTTCAAACAATGTCTGCTTCCAACTTCATATCATTTTAATGGCTGTGGTGGCTTTTTTTTTGTTTTTCCTACTAAGACCAAAATAAAGTACTTTATTTTAAGCCTCCTCCTGCTAGTTTGGGCAATCATTTTTACAGTACATCACGAAATCTTCATGATCAAGAAGAGATGGTGACCATGCTGTCTACTAATCACTGTCTATGATTAGACACTAGGTCATGGCTGCCCAGGAACTTCATTTTCTATATTTGTTTTCATTTGAATTCTGACTAAGAACAGTTACTGGGGAAGCTGAAGTGCCCCATAGGTTTAACTTGGGTCAAGAAGTGCTATCTGGTTTCAGGCAAAAGTACAGAACCAGTTCAAGATAGGGAACAAGGGACCATGGAGTCAGCAAAAATCTGGAGCATAGAAATCCCTTAAATCTTGCATCATCTTTCATGAATCACAGAAAGCCTATGATAAAGCTTCCTGTCCACCACTCCAAAGCCCTGTGTCACTTGTGTAGTTGTTAAAATTGCTCATTTAGCTTAGCAGTAAGAAAACAGAACTAGACCATTTGTAAATGTCACTAAGGTAAATGCCTCATGCTTGCCCAACTACGAGGAGCTCAACACAGCAACTCTAGCCTTCATGTAACTTACCTCTTGAAGGAACAAATAATTCTGTTCAATGCTTCATCTCCAAAGCAGGTTAGCAAGAATTTCTGTTAAAATTGCCAGAAGCCGCTACGCGTATAACATCAAAACAGAAATGTAAGCTTACAAGACTTCAGTAAGGATGGAGCCCACACTGTGAGGAAGATATGAAAATGTGTCCTCAGAAATAGATCTGAGTTTTCCAAAAGTTTAAGTTTTCTGCTTCTCTAACTGTACTCCTGAACATCATGCTTTACACTGAGTTTTGCAACTGTGGATTGCTCTTGGATCACCAGATATGATCTCTTGAACTTTCAGAAAAATTTGGATCTACATGTAGATATACTTCTTGGCTCTAATCTAGCTGTAGTTTAGTAAGAATGCCATTTACGTCCATTTTATGTTCCTTAAAAGCTACATTAAGTTCATTACTAAGACAGAGTAAGAGAGTAAGTGTGTATCATGGGTATGTGTTCTCTTATCCAGTGACTTCAGAGATTGCTCCACACTTATGAATGGTGCTTTTTCTAAATGAGCTGCAGTCTCGTGACCCTGGTTGGTCCTGTAGGAAAATATTTCAGTCAACAACATGTGACATCTCTGATAGAGCAAAGCCAGTGACTGCCAGCTGGGGGGAGAGCTGCTCAACTCAGTACTTCCATGCTATCAGGTCTGCTCTTTATTGCTGTTGCTCTTTATTGCTTCTTGCAAAAGAAATTTCTGCCTACAGGAGTCCAGATATATTTCCTCCTGTTTCAGTAAAATCTCAAAAAAAAAAAAAAAACCAACAAAAAAAACACCTTGTATTTTGTCATGCTTATAATTACTGTCAGAGATCTCAACAAAATGTTTTTCTTTTAGTTATTCTTCCCCTCTTTCTCCAATTGAGATCTTCCACAACCCAGTTAGCTTCCCTGCTTTATAGGTCTAGTTGTGGGGTTTTTTTTGTTGTTGTTTACCCAGTCTTACTATTCTGATCATTCTGCATAGTGGCTAGCTGTCCTGATTTCAGCTGGGACAGTTGGTTTTCTTCATATTGTCTGGTATGATGCTGTGTTTTGGCTTCCAAAGAAAAACTGTTGATAACACACTGATGATTCAGTTGTTGCTGAGCGGTGCTGCACAGAGCCAAGGACTTTTCAGTTTTTCAGCATCTGTCCTGCCCACGAGGTGCTGGGGGCACAAGGAATTGGGAGGGGCTGGAACCAGGGCAGCTGACCTCAGCTGGCCCAAGGGATATTGCATGCCATATGACATCATGTAAAAAACTATAAAACTGAGGGAAATGGGCTGGGGGTCAGCTGCTTCTTGGGCATCGCTTGGTGAGTAGTGAGCAACTGTGTTGTGCTTCACTTTATTTGTATATATATGTTGTTATTGTTGCTATTACTCCTCTCTTTCTTTTCTGTCTTAATATATACTCTTTATTTCAATTTATGAGTTCTGCCTTTTTTTTTCCCCAATTCTCTTCTCCATCCCACTGGGAGAGGTGGGGAGGGAGAAAAAGGTCGAGTGGTGCTCAGCTGCTGCCTGGTTTATGCCCCAGCACTCACATTAGTTTTCTGCCATGTAACTGACCTCTGCTGTACCACTGCTTCAACAGCATCTGACCTTTGAGTCACCTTCAGCCCTGATGCAGAAATACTCCTTTTGTATGGATACAGTTAGCTTTCGATGCATGTTTTCTTCCTCCCTGATGGTAAGACAAGCAAGAGGAGCTTCTTAATGCTCTGGGTGTGTGTGATCCATCTACAATAGCTAGGCTTCATTGTGAAGAGAACCGCACAAAAGTTATCATTCAGAAGGGGAAAGTTGCTACAGGGATTAGTATAATCAAAGCAACAAAATATTTCCTCACATTTTTTTCTCCCAAATAATAAATTGCAAGACAGCCACACCAACATGTAGGAATTGTAACTGAATTTATAAATGTTATAACTGTTGAACACGGTTACCTTCTCTGGGAGCAAACCCGTATTCAGAGAGCCATCAAAACCTTTTCAAGTGTTTCAATGTGTTTTAACAAGGCTTTTTAAAAACACAAATGATGTTTTCCCGAAGCTTCATTGCTGCTTTTTGTTCCTAATTTCTCATTTCTTTTTCACTACATTATAATATCTCTGAAACTTCACAGCCCCCAGGTGTGTGCTCAGCTGCTAGCAAATCTGATCATTATCTATTTTTAAAAATCAATGAGCAGCAGTCTAACACCTCTGGTGAAACCACTGACTGCTGTTTCACAGAATGGCCAGGGTTGGAAGGGACCTCAAGGATCACGAATCTCCAATCCCCTGCCACAGGCAGGGCCACCAACCTCCACGTTTCATACCTGCCCAGGGTCCCAGGTCCCATTTGGGACCCTGGCCTTGAACATCTCCTGGGATGGATGGGGCATCCACAGCCTCTCTGGGCAGCTGTTCCAGCACCTCACCACTCTCATAGTAAAGAATTTCCCCCTGATATCCAACCTAAATTTTCTCTCCCTTAACTTAAAACCATTTCCCCTTGTCCTGTAGTTATCAACCCTTTCAAAGAGTCTCCATCCGGACTCCTTTTGTATCACGTTCCCAACTTCGCGGCTTCTACTGTGCGCGGCCATCCCGAATCACAGCCCCGCGGCGGCTGCAAGGAGCCGCGCCGGCACCCCGGGAACCCCGGAACGCGTAAGAGGAGCCCGGAGGGGCCCTTCTGGGGGAGCCCCGCAGGAAACCACGGCGCTGCGGGGGCCCGGCGGGCTCGGCCCCGCCTCGGCTCCTCCCCGCGGCGGGCGGCTCGACTCCGCTCGGCTCGCAGCGGCACGGAGTCGGGCGGTGGTGCGGGACGGAGTGCCGAGGGGCCGCTCGTACGCGGCGCGGGGCGGGGCAGCTCCGCTCCATTGGGGCGATCCGCGGTTGTTCCCCCCGCAGCGCAGCGGCCTGGGCGCGGAGCCGCTCGTCCTTGGGCAGCGCCGCGGTGCTCGGCCCGCCACCTGCTGCGGGACTCGGCGGCGCTTTGCTGCTGCCCGTCTGGTTTCGTGATCCTTTTTTTTTTTTCCCCTTTCTTAGGCACTGCTTTGCTCTTCTGGAGATAGCAAGAAGGACTCTGATCAGTGAGTAATCGAAATTTTTCAAATGTCCGTTTCCCAATCTGTTCCCTTCCTCGTCGAGTGGCAGTATCGGGTCAGAAGGAAGATTTGTCTCCCAGCTCCGGGCCGTGACTTGGCTGCCCTTGCTGCACGCACGGAGCTGCACAGCGCTCTTCTTCCTAAGGACTCGGAAGTGTCAGCTGCTGGGAGTCAGCCGGCAGGCTCCTCTCTGGGGCCAAAAGCACCGCTCTGCATCAAATCCATTCCAAGTCTCCACTTGGAGTGCTGCCGTGTCTGAAATGTGTTACAGCTGATCTCCTTATCTTGTGGGTTTTTGTGCTGTGAGTAGATCTGAGTAAGATATTCCTGGTTGTACTGCAGCTATGAAAAAGCAATTTAAAAAGAAGCGGGGGAAGTGGGAAGTTGTCTTAGGCTGGGATTTTCAGACAGCTGCTTCATGGAGGGTAACGTGAGAGAACTATTTTGTAGCGCCATGGGAATCCAGCATGTGTAGCTCTCTCTCCTTGAAAGCACTTGTTCACCAAAGCCCCACTTTTACAGTGGGTTTTGCGTGTTCTTAGCTGGAGTAACGTTACAGCTACGAAGAACAGTCCTCTGAAATGAAATCTGAAGGATTTTTGTTCTGTGTTCCTATTAATCGCTTCCCTTTTTACACCTCAGAAATCGCATGAAATTGATTCCCCGCTATGTATTCACCGTTTGAGTGTGGGTATTAAAATCAGTGAATTATCACCTTTCTTCACAGATGCCCTCAGAACATGTCTCATTGGACAAGTCTGTGGTATGTCTGGTAAGTTTATTATTAATCTTACTCAATAAATGGACACATCGTGAGCAGGAGTTGCAGTAAGGTAATGGAACGCTCCTCTCAGTCAGGATGGTGGAAGGACTGCTCAGGGAAAGCCGCCAGGGGAGTGCATGGCAGATGGGATGGCAGAGGAGATAAGGTGTCAGGCAGAGCACAGCATTCATCTGGGGGTCTGTCATCTTTCCATTCCGAGTACAGCAGAGTTCAGCTGTAGATCTTGTTTGTTCTTCCTAAATAAACAACTTGGGACACAATGGCAGCTGCACAGAACGGACTTGTTAGGACTTGGCACTGCCTCAAGTGCAGTCCTCAGTGCTCTCCCTTTTATGGGACAAGAGGCTGTGAGCTTATGGTGTTGATTTTTCATTCTGATCTCAAGCTGAATGAAAGAATAATAGTAAGTGAGGCAAAGGTCTTGCCTCAAGTGTATTTGTCTCTTTCCTGAACATGCACTCTGTGTATCCTAATGTTATTTTTGCAGTTTGTATTGTCACATAACATATTAATTTTGATAGTAACAGATTGAATTGATTAGTTTTAATCATCATTCTGTCTGAGCTAATTTGCTATTCTTTGCTTTCTTAGAACATGCTGATATAGGACTGTTTAAAAATACATATGGTTGCATAAAATATTTTAAGGCTTCTGTAATTAGGCAGAGTTAAAATCATGAAAGTTAATGAGCTAGTGCTGAGATACCTCTCCTTAGGTGATTTCTGCCTTCCTCCAAGGGTAGCAGTATGTGAAGGCATGACTGTCACTGCACACCAGCATGCAGAGCTGGTAGTGCGAGGAAATACCCACTGGCTAGAGATGAGGTCACACTCCTTGCACTGGAGGAATGTTTCATTGCAAAGTTCCAGCAGGACAGTGTGTACTTCTCACACATGAGAGCCAAGGCCTGTAGGTTGCTTACACTGTATTCAGAGGGTCTGTGTGTTTCTTCTATCTACCTCCATTCCTGACTGTAATAAGAGAAAGCAAGGTTTTATTCCAAACTTGCAGGTACTCCTTCTTAGCACCAGAAGATGCAGAGTGCAGCACTTCCTCAAAAATTCTATCTTGTACAAAAAATTAGTGTCCTTTAATTTCAGTTCAGAGTTTTCCTTTTACTCTAGGTCCATTTTAAGTGTGCCCCCAGCGTATATTACTTTCTTGCACCATACCTAGAGACAGTGGTTGCATTTTCAAGGCACAGTGGTTTTGCAAGGTTATACTTGCATTTCCTTTCCGCTTTCATTGCAAACAAGCTGAATATACAACCCAAGATCATTAACATCACAGAATCTGTAAGCCAGAAAGGATGGTACCGGTAGTCAGAGTGCTTCCAATTCTGACTGTCTGTGATTCAGCTTTATAATTCTGGATCCAGGACCCATTAAGAGGAGGTTTGACCTGTCTTTTGCTCATTTACAGTGCAACTATAGCTGGCTCTGGAAGAAGTAAAACTGATGACATTATGGTGTTCTTCACCCTCTCTAAGGTTAATCTTGCTGACTGTGTTCATGCTCCTACTCTGTGGGATCACAGCAAGCTGCAAGAAGTTCTGCTGCCGGAAGAAGAGGCCTCCAGTTCAGCCCTTCCCTCGGCACCCCTATGATCTGACTGTTGTTGCTATTGACAGCGACAGCACTGCTCACAGCACAGTGACCTGTAGGTATCCTCTGGGTTACCCCTACTCTGTCAGGAGCTTTACAACAGTAGCTGATGGCAATATGTGCAGATGTTTGCTCTTCTGATAGTGGGTTTTTTTGTTTGTTTGGTTGGCTGGTTTTTTTAAATGTATATAGATTCTATCATGGGTAATTCTATAGTGCTAGCTTTTAGTACAGCGTGCATTTATTCTGCAAGCAAAAGGCAAGCTATAATTTCTTGGAGAAAAATGGGATGAGCCCTCTATATATCAGGGTTCCATGCAATTGTTGATTTTTTTCCTTTCCATTTCTTTTCTTCACAGCATATAGCTCATTTCAGTACCCTCCGAGCGCCCCTATCCCTTCAATATTTGTGGGTATGGATAGGAGCACTGTATCCCCTCCAGCTTACAGTCCCTACGCAATGGATTTGCCGCCTTCTTATGATGAAGCTGTCCAGATGGGTAAACAACACATTGAAGTAGCACTGGTCAGCCAGAAACTCAGTGACATCCCTGGACAGGTGATGCCAGGGGGGCAGAATCCCAGCCAGAATTCACCTGACGTAATCAACAGAGATCTAGCAACACAGCCAAATTCAGAAGATGCAACACAAGAACAGCCTCAGCTCTAGCTCATTTTGGATGGGGAGTAAAGAAATGGAAGGACTACGAAAGTTAAAGAGGACATGAAGAATTTGGTCTTGTAAGACAAACTTATGATGGAAAGATGATTATCCTAACAGATCGTGATAAAGGGCAGCAGTTTAAAAGTGCCTATAAAGGTGGGACATGGATGCTTCTTCATCGCCTGTTTAAGAAAAATAACTCCCCGTGCCCAGCAGAAGACCACAGGGATATTGCCATCTTGGAAACAGTCAGATGGTACAAAAAGCAAGTTGCTGCTCCTGAACAGAGCTTTCCCAAACTGGAGTTGAAAGTAGAATCCTATAAACTCACACTAGAGAGTCAGTGATACTCTGTCTCTCTATAGTTTCTTTTATTTTAAGAACTTTAACTGCTCAGCAAACTGCTGGGGTGCTAAATTTGTCACTACATAATGACATGTGTTCCTTAAACTGAAGAATGACTGCAAACAAGGACAGGAAAGTGTTTGGAGGAAAATGCATTACCTTATGTTTCACAGCTACAGACAAGGAATGAAACAGATAAGAGAGAGATTATTTTTGTTGGTCATAAGACTTGAAGGGATTGGTTTTGAGTAGTTCTTTTTTCTTTAAATCTATTTTCAAGATGAGCTGGCTTGCGTGTGGGATCCTTTTGCTACTTTTTTGTGCCACTTGAAGTACAAATTAGTTTCAAAGAGATTTCCATACTTGGTTGAGTATTAGTAATGTGTTTCAATATTCATGTTCTTTGCTGATTGAGCACAGTGGGTTTGAAATACAGTGAATGAATTGGAAAATATCAATTGTTTTAGATGCAGAAAATACACAATAATTGGCTATTTCAGAAGAACATGACACTACCATCATGAGAACCCATGTGACATCTCACCTGGAGGGGTTATCAGTGTGAACTTGACAAGCACTTAACTACATAGTAGTTTTTCCTTATTTTTAAAGACTGAAGTAAATAAGAAGATAACACACATGGCATCAGTTTAAGGTTTATGGAAAAACTGTGTTATCTAATCAGTTGTAACTGACCACAAAGAGCTAATTACATTGCCTGCCAGTGTCAGCATCAAGTTCATAATCATTTTCTGCAGTGTGATTTCTCCCAAGTACATTTCTTCCCATCTTGGTAACATTTGCTTGCACTAAACAGGAAAATTCTGGGGAATTTCAAAGCAGTCTTGCAAACATGAAATACCCCTTGTCAACCTTTCATGTGTAAAAATCAAGATTTAACACAATGGCCTACACAGGCAATTCTTTATGCCACCAAATCACATTTGTATCTGTATTTCTGATTGTATCATAGAAGAGGGCTAATTTCTCTTCTGAGTCATTATGCGCACACTAACAAACATGTTTTGAAAGCTTAATGTAAGAAATGTAGCATGGTGTCTAATGTGCTATATTATGTTAATTATAGCTATGAGGAAATCCAGGACAAACTAAAAACTCAGCAGACATGAAATTAGAGAGAGACTAGGAGGAAAATGTCAAAACCAAAAATCTTGTATGTAAAACAATAAATGTAATTAATTTTTAACAGAAATTGCATTTCTATCTCACAAAGAACTTTAGCAAATTTTGCCTAGCTTGCACTTAGCCAACATGTTTTCTCTGTATTTCTTGTGTTCTGAACTGTCTGTCAAGGTGGTAAATATATGTGTGGATTACTCAAACTTTCCATTTTTTGTTTCGTAGCACAGCAATCAGTGGGCTAAAACACTGAACTCTCTAGTACTGCTAGAGAGACAAGGCAGAGCGCTCTTGTTGTGAGTAGGCAGGAATATAAAATGAGGTACATGAAAAAACAGTGACTGACACAAGAGGGCAGTCCTTCACTTTTCAGTGAATCGCCTTGTGTGATCACTGGGATCTGCTCAGTGGTACTGCCAAGAGGCAAGGTTCTGAGCCTGGGCTCTGACCAGCTCTGCAGAGGGAGGTTACTTTGCAATGCAAGGACTGAGTTTGCTAGAGGAAAAAAAGGGGAATAAAATCACAAGGGTGCATGTTTTGCTTTTACAATGCTGCTGTCATGTGAGTTCTCAGAAGTTCCTGACAGACTACCTACCATGCTGCAAGGAGACCCATTCCCTTTGCTCATATTTGCTGCTAGCCACAGTATCAAAACACTAGATGCCCATGGAGGGTATTGTAAGGCTCTTGCCTTACAACGTGGTTCATTAATTCAAAATAAACTATTTCCTTGAACTAATCCACACACAGAACATAGGATTTTCTTTAAACATTTACTATTTAAGGATTAAAAGCAGCTCAGTCTGCTCCTCACGTTTTCAATAGTGATGTCTGAGCCCTCGATCTGACTTCTCACCACTGATAACCAAAGCTCACCCCGACCCTGTCTGTGAGGAGGCAGATTACTGCCCCCCGACAACTGTGCATTATTTGCATCCCCACTTAACCCATTTCATTTGCTCAATAGAATTGCATGAAATATATCTCTCCAGATATAAAGATCATAAATAAAGGCAAGATAGAGAAAGATGATTTCTTGTTAATGGCTATAAAAATAGGTTTGAGAAGATTCTATTCAACCTGCATTTTTGCAATGCAAATGTAAAAGGATGGTAATATTTCTTAGCCTTAATGAGTGGTAAGTTAAAATGAACTTAACTTTGATTAATGTTTTAAAACTCACTAATTAAATCTGAGAGTTTAGAACTGAGATTACTGTTCTGTGTTTCTACCACTGCTTTCCATATAAATTTCCATTTTAACTTTTTCTTTGTGTTCTTTCTAGCTCTGTTTATCTCTCTGTGTGAGATCTGACTTCGTGATCCTAGAAAACTCTGCTGATGGTTGATGCCACTTAGTGAGGTTCAAACAGGATACTTTCAAAAGCTCCCAACCCAGATAGGCATGGTGTTCTTTGTTTCTACCCTAATGAGCTTGTAAAGGAGATCCAAAAGATAGGATTGTTCTTTGATTGTTCTTATGTATGTTGACAGGGTTCCTGGTTTTGTCACTGAAAGCACTTTTTGCTTCTATAATTGCATTCTGCACGACTTGAAAAAAATAAAACTCAGCTGCAGAAAAAGAGCCCAGCTTACATTTGGTTTTATTACTCTTAACCACGTGTCTAACCACATGTCCGTTCTCACTTGTTTCCAAACAGCCTTGATATGTCTCAATGTCTGGCTCTCTGAGAGCCACTAAAGAGAAACTAGAAGTGGGTGGATGGGAATTAATTCAATGACAATTAATGTATATGTACATAATGCTTATAGCCAGTTCTTAAAGTATTCTGAAGCTTTAAAACAAGACATTATAAGGGATACTATTTATTAGAGCTACAGTGATGCTGAAGGTTTCATTCCCTGGCCAAGGGAATCAGCTTGCAGCTGCCTGTGTGTGTGCTATTGTGACGTGTTTAGAAGCCTGCAGGGTGACCTCCACAAAGCTACTTCCTTTCTCCTGTCTCTTTTTCTTCACCTTTCTTGTTGATCTGTTTAAGGCATCCTTTGGAATGGGAAATTCTCCCCACAGTGCCTACCACAGTGGAAATGTGGTCACAGAGGGTCCCGCATGCTCAGCTGGATGGAGGACCTAAGAATTCTGATTTGTCAGTCTAGCATTTACACCATTACTACATCTGCTAAACTCTGATTACATCCGCACAAGCTTTGTGACATCTCTAAGGGAAAAGCTCCTCTCAGTAATTAACTGAAGTGCATATCTATTGTGAATTGAATCTGGTGCTCATCTGGCACTGTTCAACATGTAATTCTTCTTCTCCCATTTGTCCATAATAATTGTTTTGGCAGCTATTTTCTGTTATTTGCTGGCTGTGTGCAAGAGCTTATGATGGGGAGACGCACTGCTGGAGCAAGGCAGTGCTTACATCACTGGCAGCAGCTTGCAGTCTTGTCTCTCCTCTCGCACACACATGCGCTCACCATGAGCCCTTGTGCTCAGAAAGAAAATTCAGGCTTGCAAGTAAATTGCCTCAATAATTTATAGGCTTTATAGCCCTGAGCAAATTATACCTTGGCTCTGTGATGAAATTCAGGCTGCAAATCCTTTTATAGCCAAGCTCATTAACAATATAAGTAAAGTGGTACATCTATAGTGGTTTTTATGATCAATGCATTAGAATCTTTGGAGAGTATTAAGTGGTAAACCAGCAGCATCCAGAGCAAAGCATCAATAGGGTCTGGATGCAGTACGACTCAGAAAAGCCATTTCTTTTCCTGCCTTAAGCTTGCCTTTGTCTGTCTCGCTGCCCCCCGAATACCATTTATTCACCGTGCAGCATGTGCTATGCTCCCAGTCAATAAAATAGATCTGGCTGTCCTGAGGATTGGTTTACTGTATTAAGCAGCGAGTGTGGAGTACGTAGGTCAGGAATTCCTGCAGGTGCAGTGATCTCTGTTACACGTTCCTGTAGTGTCTGTGACTTGGCCTGAGGAGAAGGGGAAGGAGATGGATGCCAGCCCTTTATCCTAAGGATGGATGCATCTCTGAGGAACTGTCCCCACACATCTGTTATTCCACCTAGCCTGCAGTCTGCCTTCTTCCACCAGATGGTATCAGTGAGCCTAACTGACCTATGTACACATCAATTTTTCAGATGCTTGACCTCACAGAATTTAATTAAGAATATTTGGAAGAAAAAATGTCCTTTCCTGTATTCTCCATTGGTCAAATAGAAAGCAATTATGGAATCACAGAAAAACTGAGTTTAGGAGGGACCTCTGGACACCACTAGTCAAACGCTGCTCACAGCAGGGTCAACATGCTCTGGAGCTTGTCTAATATGGTTTTGAATTACCCAAGGACAGATTCCACAACCTCTCTGAACAACCTGTTCTAACGTCTGATCACTCTTACAGTAAAAGTAGCATACTGAATGTTTGAGTGAAGTTTCCTCCATTTCAGTTTCTTGCTGCTGCTTCTTGCCCTGTCAGTGGGTACCTATTGAGAAGTCCACCTATTTTTAAGCTTTCCCATCTGGTATTTATACACATTGGTGAGATCTCTCCTGAGTCTTCTCTTCCTGAGGCTAAATAACCCCAGCTTGCTCATACTCTCATTTTATGTCAGATGCTTCAATCCTTTAATCATCAAAATATTTAATAACATCTTCTTTCCAACTTGCCTGGATCCTCAATCATTTACGAATTTCACCTGAATTTAACTGTGACATTAAACATATTTCTACTGGATGTAGGCCTAGAATAAACAGTTGCATAAAGAAAACCATGAGAAACATCATGTGAGTGATATTCCTAATCATCCTATTTACCCCTCACATCATGCTGGCAGGCTGTATGCTTTGCTGATGCTACCTATGCAATGCTTTTTTCAGTGAGAGTTCAGCACAGGCTTGTAATTAGAGTGGTCAGCTCAGTGTGCTGCTGATCTGTGTCCTGGTGGTGAGAAAACAGGCAAAACTAAATCAGAAAAGGAGCAGAGGAGATGCTTGTACGTGACCTGATTAATCAGAAATAGATGAGCTGCTTGACAGCAGGAAAATAAATACAATCCACCTATTGCTTTGCATGGTGCTTCTGGGTAGAATATGCTATGCAGGTATTCCCTCCTGTGGGAGATTACATTTTAGAAATACAGGAAATCACCTGGATTAAAAAAAGAACATAAGGAATAACACTGTTCTAGCCCTGAAAACGAAGACTTCTTTTCTCCAGATTCTCTCACTGTCAACAAGAAAGCTGTTTCATCAGAGCATGCCCTTGTTCCATAGCTTTCAAGCCAAATGATTGGTTTTTGATTAAAAAAAAAAAATTGGCCTCATTTTCTTACATGAATTATAGCTAGCAATACCAGAAAACGATTGCTTGGTGCTGTGCTCTAATTAATAAATAAATAAATCTAAATTTCTTATTGATTCCTACCTCTCTCCTTTCCAATGCATCTCTCTATTTTATGTGTGAAACTTTAAATCCAAAATCTCTGTGCTTTAACCAGTGTAGCAGAAATGCTAAGTCACAGCTTGCACCAGTGATGGAGCACCTGGTGGGAAGGCAGGGCCAGCCCAGGGGAGCTCAGGTGCATGAAATGTAGCTGAGTGATCAGAAGGGCTGGAGCCAGGATCCACCCCTTCCCAGCCCTCATGTAATGGTTGGCAGCGGAGACAAGGGAATCTTGTTGGAGATCCCTGTATGCTTGAGGCCTTCAGAAGGTAAGCAGCTTCTTTTCCTTTGTTTCTGTGCCCATGGCTGTTGTATTTCAGCAAGCCTGCACTTGTTACAGCTTAGGACCTTCTTCTCTGCTGTTGTGCTTTCCCTCACATTACAAATGTGATGTGACCCGGTGAGATGCTGTGTAACATCAGTAATAAAGTAACAGGACTCAAAATTAGGATAAGTTGAGAACTTATGGAATTCATTTGTTGATATCTTTTATCCATTTGTAATTATGAAATGTAAGTGTGTACATATACCTGTTTAGTTTAAAGATTTCCACAGCTCTTCTTACTTTTTCCCTCCCCTAATTGTTTGCTTAGGCTTGATTCTGTAAGCTGGCCATTTGGTACCCATTTCTGTTTTAACTCAGCTTGTGTTCATGATTAATCTAGAAGACCAATTTAGTTGCTTCACAAATCTGAAACAACATTGAGAGAAATGAAACTACAAAGAGGGAGTTTTTTATCAGGCTGGAGGTGGGGTGGGGGAAGAAAGAGGCAACTACTAAGTCCAAGAATTAGTCAGATTGTTTCTGTTAGGGATTTACAAAGAACACAAATCCCTACTTGCAGTCATGGATGCACAAGGATCTTTCTCCCTGGCAAGTAATCCAATATTGCATGTCTGCAGTTCTAGTGATTCATATTTCAAGCTGTTGTTGCATTGTTTTGAATTCAGGGAAGGCTCCAGTATAAAAACTCTGGCACAGGAAGTTCAGCTTCCTCTCCAGATTTCCTTCCTCCATCTTCTTATATGCAGCTCTGCAGGGAAGATATCTGAGCCTTTCCTGTGCTGAGTGAACACTCAGATAACTGTAGAATGGTTTGCATTTACACCCAACACCTTCAGATACAGTGCTGAAGAAAGGCAGTGTGGAAGACAAAGTGGTTCTTATTGACAAGACTTGATCCTGAAAATATTCTGATGGTTGACTTGCCTTTTGTAACTGTCCACAAAGTTGGGCCTCGTTCCTAAAACAAACAATATAAAGAATGGTAAAAGCAACTACTTCTGCCCTTCAGTCCCGCTTCTACAAAAATGTCAGTGATGACAGTGGGTATATAGCCATAATAGAAATATTCCACAAGTACAGAGGAAGAAAAACTATGAAAACAGAACCTGGATCAAGTCAAAATTGATTTTTAACAGGCTAATCTCAACTCCTAGATTTTACCTAAGTTTTGATGTCCTTTAATATCAGCTTGCTAGGCCAGCCAGTCTGAGCCTCAGACCAAAAATGTACAAAAAAAGAGCAAAAGCAACAACAAAGAAACCCCATCAACAATCCAAACAGGATTATAGCTGACCTCTGGAAGTGCGTGTTAAGTGTGCTAGGAGAAAGACAATGTAGGAAGTGTGATGCAATATTAAAGACCTCTGAGCTAGGTCTGTACAAACTGGCACTACCTTGTGGCCTATGTGTGTGTACACGTGAAGATCCCTGCTAGGATCACAGAGGTAATACAGCCATGGTAGAAGCACTGTATGCAGTGCTAGGTCAAGTAGAGCAATACACTGATGTAGCTCACAATGCTTTCAGTTCTAAAGTCTGCCTATCAAGCCACGTCTGGGATGTGTGCCTGTGCAAGTAGTGCTTTACAGTGCTTTATACAGCGTATATATTCCCTACAAGAATGATTTCTGAGTATATGCTGCATTTGCAGAGTGAATAAGCTCTACCAAACATGGCTTATTCCATTACCAACTGATTTCCAGAGCACAATGTTGTTCTTGGGAAAAGAACAGTAGCAGCACCTGCTTCACTACCTTTCACTAGCATAGCAAGAATAGACATCAGTACAGCTGCAGCGAGAGCATGGGGAGAGGCCTGAGCCACTAATTGCTTGTCATGTGATCTGGGATGCAGGCTGTTCCCAGCAGATACAAGAGGAGGAAGAAATGAGCTATAGCTCTTCTACCACCACACAGCCCTGCCTGAATCTCTGTTCCTAAGACCTCACTCCAGTTCTGTGATTGCCTTACGTATGCAGGCAAAAGCAAGTACACAGGCCTGACTTCAGCTGTTACTCAGGCTAAGCAAGCATGGTGTTGAAAATAAACTAATGCAGTCCATACAGATAAAGCAGAACAGTGCACATAAATCATATCTGACAGCCTTCTTATGAGATGTGTTACTAATATGCAGCCTTCCACAAGACTGGCAGAAAGTTGAAATCTGAAAGCATGAGGAGAGGACTCAGCTCAGTGCCAAATGCAATTGCCTGGTTTGGGAAGCAGCGAGCATTTAGAATCCATACCATGTCACCCACTTACTCATGCATATGTATGAGAACCTACTAAGCTTCTGTCATAGCCAGACGCTCACAGTAACAGATTAATAATTAATAAATAGCTGTACGGTCACTAACAAATGCCAAAGGGTGATATCCTATCTAGCTGTACATCTGCTGAAAGTGCACATCAGTAAACCACATCGTGCTTTTAGCTTAGACTCCAACATTAATTTTGGCAGTGTGAAAACACAAAGTGTCATTCATTGTTTGTTTACTTATTTGTCATTTGATCTTATTTGTTTGTCTGGGGGACTCCTGTAAGGATTTGAAGCTCCAGTATAGAACTATGGGAGACGCAAGAAGTGAAACTGGCTAAGCCAATGATAACAACAAATGGAAATGCAAAAATCAACTCTCATTTGAAATGGTGAGAAACACATTTGCTTTTTAAGTTTCTAATACTATAAGCTGCTGATAGAAGTTGTTTTTTAAGATGTCTTTTCTTTTTTTACTTTTTTTTTCCTCTCTTGGGTGCTCTTTTAAAACTGTTGGCAAGCTAAATTATTTCTAGGTGTGCTATGATGGTGGCCCATAGTGCACATGACTAAGACATTAAGTCGAAGATATAAACACTGAGAAATGAAACAATTTCATCCCTTGTTTTATTTTCTTTGATTTTAGTATTTTTAAAATTACTCTTTGAAATACTACCTGGTAATCAAAACAGGAAGTTCACTTATTTGAAATTGTCAACATATATTATTTTTGTATTTTTAATTAGGTGATGGATACCATATTGACACGTCAGTATTCTATAGTGCTGTTTTCCTGGTTTGTTTGCTTGTTTTTTCTAGCTCTAAACCCTTCAGGATTCACTAAAGTTAAGGTGGAATTTCATTGAGTTGGAGGCTTTGGTGCATAACCTCAAAATTGGAAACATCAACAATTCTTGAGATTGTTCTGCTGCTGTTGTATCACCAATGTAAATACCTACTGGTACCAGTGTGGTAGAAGATACAAAAGACACAGTGGTCTTTAGGTTTTATTGAATTAACATAATACACATTAGTAATATAACAGCATACGTCATCCTAAACACATACAGGAAATATTACAGCTGTTGCTGAGCTTTTGTACATATGAAATTTGTCAGTGTGTTCTTGACAGTGGAACATAAAAACCTGGTTTCCAACTGTTACATTTGCAAGTAAAAATGTCTTTAATGAAGCATCAAAACTCAGCACACAACAATCACTTAAGAGTAGAATTTATCTGCAACTAGTCTGTTCAGCTCATGGAGAAGTAACCAACTCACATTGCTGCTGGGTTTCCTTGCTAGTTTTGTGCTTGCTCATGGAGATGTGTTCCCACTGGGGAAAGCCTGTGGTTTATGTTGGTGTGACTCTCCAGCTTTTGAATGTTCCTTAACCCTTTAAAACCTTACTCCAAATCTGTTAGTGGGGTTTAAAAAAAAAAAAAAAAAATCCATCCTTTTTTTTTTTGTGAATGTTTCTGTTTAAGAAAAATATACACGTAGAGAGGCTCTATTTATCCAGGTATGAATGCTACAAAACACAGTAGGATTCTATCTCATCCTGTATCTCTGCCAAAGGATTTCAAATCCCATTTTTAGAACAAGAATTCGAGTTTCTTCACCTCTTTCAACATGAAAAAAATATCAAAATACTTTCCAAGTGTTCGTGGACTAAATTTGCAGTGCTGTTTTGTATTACTACATTCATTCCACACTGCATTTAAAGCAAAGGAACTAAATAATTCAAAATCAGACTCCATAGCAAAGGTAAGAATAAAACTGAAAAGATCAGAGCATCCAACTCTGGATATTGAAGCCCACTGCCATAACCCATTTCTTCTGTGCTACGTGTGGGAGCTATGAACAAGGCTGTTCTGCAGTCAGGATAAACTGTAAACAGGATTTTCTTTAAACAAGATAACTGATTGGGATAGAAGCCATGTATTGACAACCCTGGAGGGAGCTGGAGAGTTATAAATACAGCAGAGGTATAGATAGGAAGGGAACTGAAGTGAGACTTTCTTTAAAGTAAATGAGAACATTCATAAACAATAGCACAGAGGAGATGCTAAGAGAGTGCTTGTGAAATGCATAGTGTGAAAAGGCCTACATTGTACATAAAAAGCAAAACATCCCCCATCTTTAAGTGTTGTCAAAAGAGTAATTTCTCTAAGAAATACAAGTCATGACTTCAAAATGATTTTCTTTCTTCTATGATTTTTCAACACAGAATTCTGCATTTAGCTGAATTATGGATACTGGGGAAAAGGTGGAATGAAAGGAGAAAGTCATGTTACTGCTTTACTTTTT